ATCTGGAGGTTAGGGAAGCCGCAAGTTAGAGCTGAGTTAGAAGCTCGTGGAATTGAGATGCCATCAAAAGCCCCGGTAGCACAACTAAGACAAATGTTGTGTGACGCCATCATGGATGATCGGAATAGGGGAGATATGGAGGACAATTTTGACATTGAACCGACAAGTAGAGATACAAGTGAAGGTCGGCACACAGTCAGAGAAAATAATAAAGACAGAATAGCGAAACCTAACATACCGACAGTGATCAATAATATCGACGATATACCCGGTCTAAGAGATTTGTTGACGCAACAATTAAGGGAGCACATATCGAGAGCACAATCTATAGTTTCCTCTGGTCTTTCTACGCCGCGATCAAGTAGACGGCGAGAGCAAGAAGTCAAAGAGGAAAGGGACCTAAAGATAAAAGAGCAGATCCGGAAATGGAACGTCACATTCGCTGGAGGCGAAGATGTAGTCTCATTTATCGAAAGAGTTGATGAATTGTCAGTAAGCTATGATATAGCAGACAAGTATCTTGTGCAGTGCATCCCAATATTATTGAAGGACAAAGCCTTGTTGTGGTACAGAAATAATAAGAAGAATTGGAAAGATTGGGAAGAGTTTACTAAAGCTCTGAAAGAATTTTATTTACCCTCACGATATCGAACTCAATTAAGTTTAGAAATCCAGGATAGAGTTCAAAAACCTGGAGAGCAGCACGCGATTTTATTACGGCTCTGCAGACGCTCATGCGTAGACAAGGAACTCTAAGCAACGAGGAACAAGTAGAAAGAATTCATGAGAATTTGAGACCAGAGTATCGAAGATATGTTCGAAGATGTGATGTAAAAACGATAACAGACATCATCAGTATGACCAGTGAATATGAGCGGTTAAGAGATGACGAGAAGCGGTTCAAGTCGTCTGGTGTTAATGACTGCAAAGAAGAAAATAAAAGACGTAACAAACGTATTTCAGATATTAATATGGTTCATAGTCTGTATGACAGTAAAGAATGCTGTTGGAAGTGTGGGCAACAAGGTCATAAGAGTTGGCAATGCCAAAATAAGCCACAAATCTTTTGCTTTAGATGTGGTAAATCGAATGTTCGTGCAACTCAATGTGGATGTCAACAGAATTGGAAAACAATTCAAAAGAAGAAAGGGATAAAACAAACTCGAGATCAGAAGGAACCAACGGAAAACATCGTGAGTCCGATACCCCGCATGAACGGAGAACAAGGATTAGAAGAAATTGACGAAAGACCTTATTGTGACCCACTAGATAATGAAGATACCGTTCAAGAATCAGCAGTTAAGTTAGCAGAAAGGCTCCAAGTATTGAGAGGTGACCACAAAACCGTGATTTCTGGACATTTGGGGGTGGCAAAAAACGATTTCAAGAATCGCAAACAAGTATGTTCGGCCAAGAATGCAGAACGACATCAATAGATACGTTCGTTTGTGCAAAAAACGCCAACGATACGAGTCCCCTCAGAAGCAGACGTCAGGAATAATGGCAACTATCAATGCTACGAAGCCATGGGAAATTATAGCAGTCGAATTACAAAGTCCTTTTATTAGATCGTTAAATGGACACACTCAATTGTTAGTAATTCAAGATAAATTCACGAAGCGGGTTGAAATATATTCACTCAAACAAGCTACAGCTTCAGAAATTTGTAGAGTTCTAAAAGAAGAAGTTATTTATCAATTTGGTTGCCCGAAGACAATCATCACGAGCAATGGCACTCAGTTTACTAGTAGGAAATTCCAGAAATTGTTGAAGGATTTCGGAATAAGACATGTGGCAACTCCACCATGCTTTGCTCAACATAAAGGAGTTGGAAGAACTAACAAGGTGCTAAGAACCATGATTTTGCAGCACGACAAGAAGTCATACCAATCTTCGAATAGGAATTTAGCTAAGCGGAAGTTTGCAAGTAATGAATCTACTAAAGTCAGACAAGTCTATCCAAAATATGATAGAAAAACATTACCATCAAATACGATATCAAGTGCTTTAGAAGAAATGAACCGGTCAAGACATTTGCAAGATGATAGAGTTTTAGCATCTGGAAAACAGAAGAAATATTACAGTAAAAACAGACGGAAAAGGATATCAGGTATAGAAAACATGGTAACTAAGAAAGAGTATCTTTCGGCAGCAGCTAACCATTGTGCCGCCAAACTTGCCCCCAGATATAACGGCTCATTGATAGGACTTAAAATGTACGTAGATAAAGTAGGAGTGGTGTGCAACAATGGAAACACACCTGTCAGAAATTTTGGTACTTGAAAAAGAAATATTTATTTTGTTTGTTTCCAATTGTTCAGTTGTGAGAAAAGATTTTTGTTTCGTTTATATCACTTGTATGATAAGTAATGATGTTAAGTATTGAAAATGATTGTTTGATATTAATTTACAAATGATTGTAGAACTGTAATAATTTAAAGCAAATATTTAGCATTATAATAAGGAATTTTTATAGTTAAGCAATGTACAATAAAGATAAGGCTAAGTTCTGTAGTTAAGCCGAAATGATTGTAATTATTTGTTAGTATTTAAGTCTAAAAGTAATGGCAAAATTATGAATAAATTGTTGTAAAAAGAGAATGTACTTGTTGGCAAATGAAGAGTAACTGATGCCTCTCGTACATTTTCACTATTTTTTTTTGTATATACGGCTAAGAAAAAAAAATAATTTCCAGAAAAAAAATTCTTTTTTTTTAGGAAAAAAGAGGGGGATGTAACGAAGTTACATTTTTAAGGCCGATATTATAGAAAATTAATTGGTCTGATGAATCGATAATCAGTAAAATCATTTTATCGACCCATGAGAAATAGCGCGAAATTTAAATTATCGGCGAAGCCTATTAAAATCATGTAGTAGAGAGAGAGGGTCATAAGTAACGTAATAGATCTGAGAGAGAGAGAGTTATTGTGATGATCTTGTTGCCATGACGACTTCCCCACGCAACCCACCACAATAGTGGTGGGGGATAGCAAAGTGGGCGGAGTCAAACAGTATAAAAGAGCTGGATTTTGCGGAGATCGTCACTTCACCTGTCTCCGAGGTACTAGACCGACGAGACCGACGAGAGTTGTAGCTCACGTCGTATAATACAGAGTTGTAGCTCTGGCTAAAGGGTTGTAGCCTTTTAGTTGCCCCGGAGAGTCGTAGCTTTCCGAAAGTAGGAATTGGAGGGTTGAAGCCTTCCAGCCAAGAGTTGGTGCTCTTGGTTTTAGCTAGCGATCGAGAGTTGGAGCTCACGATCTTGAACCGTGTAGGAGTCGAAGCTCCTCGCTGACGAGTTGTAGCTCGTCAGCTATTCAGGCAAGGTTGTAGCCTTCCCTCGAAGAGTTGTTAGCTCTTCGAGTATCCCGGACGAGTTGTAGCTCGTCCTCACTTAGATAGGGTTCTAGAGTTAGAAGGTGAAGAGTCGTAGCTCGCACCTATACCCCCTAGAAGAGTTGGAGCTCTTCGTCGACGAGTTGAAGCTCGTCGATTATTCAGGCAAGGTTGTAGCCTTCCCTCGAAGAGTTGTTAGCTCTTCGAGTATCCCGGTCTGGGTTGTAGCCCGACCAACGAGAGATTAGGCCACGGGGTAGACACTTCTGGGTTGGATTTTAAGATAGCAACCCTCTCTCTCTAATATAACGGCACCTAAGTGAAAGTTAACTTTGTAAAACTGTACAATTGGAAATCTAGAATAGAATACATATATGTTGTAAATAGTTTATATAATAAAGTTGAAATTGGATTTTAATTTGTGTCTAGAGAATTTACTTTGTAACGCATCCGCCATAGAATCCTGGGCCATAGAATTTAGATAAATTGTTAAATTGGGGCGGGAATTTTCTTGGGGACTCGCCTTGAGAAAATTTAGGTGTTACAATAGTAATAAAAAAAAATCTAATCAACCAACGTTCGATAATATAATATGCCTGTTTATCAGCAGTTACTTTCAATTCACAGTTTATCAACAGTGAGGGTTCTCTTGGAGGTCAAATTTAAACTTTATTACGCTAAATACTTCAAACATTTTGCAAAATTTGAAAAATAATCATATTGATTTTATTCATCCTTACATATTGTCACTCCTCGATTTTCTTGTTTATTTATATAATTTTTACATAATCCTGAGAAATTATATCAATATTACTAGTTGTATACATAAATATAGATGTGTTCATTAATCAATTGAGTCATGCGATAGAGTCATTCTAGGAAAGTAAGATATTTATCATGTAATTGAGAAAATCAAGTCAATGGTAATATAGCTTTCTTTTTGACTAAAAAAAGAAACGAAAAGGAAATTCTTTTAATCATTTAATTTTGAATAAAAAATTTTTACTACAAATTAAATTATAAAATATATTCGATAATGTTATTTAATCAATTTCTATTTATTTTAGAAAATAAATAAATAAAATTCTAATTTCTGTCATAAAAATAAGTGATTGAGTCTGATGCATACATTATAATAATAATAATAATTTAATTCAAAATACAATTAGATTGATATCTGTTGAATGGTATCCAATAAAAAAAGACGAAAATACTATTGATTTTGAAACATTCATTACAGAGAATGTGCATACTAACCAACTCTATTTTATAGACTTTTCCATTTAATGAATTTCGTCATTAAAATAATCGACTCTGTACGATGTCCTGGGCGTTTTATGAAAGAAATAACGATTGTCCTTGGATCAAAATAACGTAATTTAGAATAAGTTATGTTAAAAACGATTGACGCTCGATCTATATAGTATTACTTAATCAATCTAACAAGCAATAGAGTGCTGACGACAGCTCAACAAAATAGCAATAATCTGTCATATAAATATGTGTTACAGTGAGAATATACCGTAATAAAAAAAAATAAAAGAACTAATTTAATTTTCTAGTTCATGCGCAGAAATCTTTGCGCGATACTTGAAGAGTAAAAAATAAATAAAAACTCTTGTACATTATTCTCGCATGTCCTCGAACTGAACCTCCTCGAAGACGTGACCAACACAGGCGTGATGTCGTCGGTAATGGTGACTTGGGAGTTCCCTTCGGCTTTTAGTTCATGCCGGCATGCCGGTGGTTAGTCACACGTTTTAACTCAGACTTTTTAAATTTAAAAAAAATACATCTTCCAAGTGCTATTATTCATCGTATTACTAGAAAAAAAAATATTTGTAATCCATTAATCATCTTAATACTCAATCAGGTACTGTAATTATTTCTTTTAATGCTAATAATATGTTTATTGCATAAATATTTATAATTAATTAATCAAATGCCACTAATATATCTATACCACATGAAAATATAAACGACTAATTATTTGATTTATAATTATTATGAACTATAAAACTCCGTTGGAAACATATAAGGATAAAATGCAAAAATAATAGTAATAATAAAGATAACAGCGATTCAGGCTAATAGAAATACTTTTTTCTCGTTTTCTTATTGTATTATTATCTACGGCGAGATACGTTTTTCATCACCTTCCAAACGTTCACTGCCATCGTTGCGTAATACGTTTCTAAAGCATGCGACAGTCCATTATATTACTATTATTATTTTATTAATTAGTTATTTATACCTTTAAATGATGTTCCCAGTGAAGCATATTTTATCGTACATTAATGACTAAAATAATCTATTTATGTGGTAATAATGTCGAAAAAATGAGAAATAAAAAAAAACAATAGATATGAATAATTAATAAATAAAAATGTTCCATAATTTTCAACACATTGAATATGAACGTGTATAGTTTAGTCTCTTGAGATCAGAGACAACGGTTATGGCTCTATTATCATCAATAAAAATGCCAGTTACATTAGTTAACCATACATAACAGATATTATTATTTTTTTCCTCATCTTCTATTAAACTTAAGATTGGAAACATTAAACTTATTTTTATCACTGCTATTATTATTATTTAAGTTAAAATCATTTTTATCATTTTCTCCCAAGAAATTGCTTAGCTTTATCGCTATCTAAAAATGAAAAAAAAGATAATCTGATTGTTGAGAAATTATCATTACTGTATCAGTTATAGATAAACTTCACACTTTGAGATTACAAAGTTACAATGGCCAGGTGTTCAAGATATATATCTTATATCTAATGAGTTATTTGATTACTTAATGACGTCAAATTCTGACTCATCCATTCGAACATAAATTGTACGACTATGCATTTAACACATTTCCCTATAAATATGTAGATTCTACTCTACTGTAACAAATTTGTCTCAGTGTTTATTGACAGTACACGTGGCTTCCATTCATTACTTTTTAAATTTTCTGAAATTTATGTGAGAAGAAATTATTTATACAATACCATTATAAAAGGGTATTAATTAAAGTAAACATTGTAATTGGCCGGCATTATTATCATTAGAAAAGGTCTCAACTTGTCATCCTTTCAAGAATGCAATTCAAATTTAACGGAGATAACCGAACTTTGACGGAAATGCATCAATGGCATCGGAGAGATCACGTGATACTATTTCAAATGCAGTTTTATGTTATCTTCTCTATTATCACTATATAAATGATTGACCATTTACAATTAATATCATTTTCGCTATTAGTTTTATAAAGTCTATTTGCTATTAATCTAATGGCAGTGATTCTTAGAATATTTTTATTTTTCATTAATTATATTATTTTTTATATTTTCATACGACTAATGAGCGTTATAATACATCCTATTAATAGCATACAGTTATAATTTTGATAAATATTCTTTTAGTCTTAAATACTTATGAGTAATAGTTAGATTAATGGTAGAAAAAAAATATTATTGTATAGTTTTATTTATCATGTTAAATTTATTTCGATTAAAAATGAAACAGTGCCAAGTCCTTCGTTCATAATATAATAACATGTTGTGGTATAATAATTATTTATTACCGGACGTTTGTATCACGAGTTAACAAACTTTTGCAATATCTACTTTATTTCATTATCCCTACGATATAGATAGATTTCATTTTGTCCTTTAGTTTTGTGTTACTTAAAGAATATTTTTTATTTACAGAATCTGGAAATTTTAATATCGACTCTCGGCCGGAAGGATCTTCGGCTCGAGAAAAAAAATAATGTCATCAAACAGCAAAACGATACCTTCATTTGTTATACGTGATCAAATTTATACTGATGAAAGTATAATGACGAAGTGTGATACCGAAGAAATTAATCAAAAACATTATATACCAAAAATAAAATGGCTAGATCTTAGTGTTCAAATATTTATTCACGTTGGATGTCTTTATGGACTCTATCTTATGTTTACGAAGGCAAAATTACTCACATCAATTTGGGGTAAGAAGGTTACATTTTTTATTGACCCGTTAACTTTTAATTATTTTTTTTTCTTCTTGATATAAAGATCTAACAAAAATGAATGGAATATTTTTTCCATTAATCTCAATGCCATTATAAATCATTTTTGGCACACATAAATCAACTCAATAATCTATCAGGTTTTTATGTTTGAGTAATTTTTCAAGGTCTGTTGATTAGAAGTAGATTTCTCATTTGTGTTTGAATGATTTTATTATCAACAAATAATTACATAAATTCTTATTAAAATAACTATTAAATGAAACTAACATACCATGCATTTTTGTTAATCAATTTTATATGTTTGAAAAGTACTAAACTCATTATTCAATAAGCTGTAAGAATATTATCCCAATTATAAATCAATAGTTGTCGCATATAGTCTCTCAGTATTTCTAGTATTCTACACCATTGAAATATAACTGAGCGGACTTCGAATTCTTTGACCCTTGGAATCATTACCATAAAAATCACTCTAATTGTTAGATAAGTATCGTAGCAAAAAAAAAAAAAAATGGAGCAATAAATTTTTTTATTACATATTTTATTTATTTTCATAAAACTATATATCTATTTACGTGATCTACTTAGAATTTGTGAAAAAAATGAGTTAAAAATGTGAATGTCAATTGATATAGCATGTACTGCTGGTAATAAATAATTTTTTTTTTTATAGCTTTCGTGATAATTTATACTTCTGGCTTTGGTATAACAGCAGGTGCTCATAGACTTTGGTCACATAGGGCTTACAAAGCTAAATGGCCTTTGCGATTACTTCTCGTGTTATTATTCACGATAACAGGTCAAGTAAGTATAATAATTGTCCAAAATGTAAATAAATATTACGTTTTTTAACATATATGAATAATAATTGAACAAATATTTGATAAATGATTCTTTTTGCTAAATTTACAGAGACACGTATATGCGTGGGCATTAGATCATAGAGTTCATCACAAATATAGTGAGACAGATGCTGATCCACACAATGCTAAAAGAGGTTTTTTCTTCGCTCACGTAGGCTGGCTATTTACTGAACCTCATCCAGATGTAGTAGCTAAAAGAAAAGCCGTTGATATGAGTGACCTTATTGCTGATCCAATCGTCATGTGGCAAAAAAGGTAGATTAGTCAATCAAGTTAAGAAATCATGATCAATAATTAGATAAATTATCATTTATCTTCCATCTTAATATATTTTAGATATTACATTCCTCTTTTTGCTCTTCTTGCCATTGGATTACCTGTTTTGACACCGTGGTATTTCTGGAATGAATCACTGTGGACATCATTTTGGGTCAGTTTCAATTTTCGTTTTTGCGTTACACTAAATATTGCATTTTTTGTTAACAGTGTTGCTCATATGTGGGGTCAAAAACCTTATGATAAGTAAGATTTTGATGAATTATTCATGAAATATTATTTAAATGTATATTAATAATAATCAGTGAGAGATAATTATTTTAATTAATTTCTAGATACATTTCGCCTGTTGAAAATATAGCTGTATCTATTGCTGCTTTGGGTGAAGGTTGGCATAATTATCATCATGTCTTTCCATGGGATTACAAGACTAGTGAACTTGGCAACTATTCATTTAACATAACAACAGGTTTCATAGATGCTTTTGCCAAATTTGGTTGGGCTTATGACTGTAAATCAGTATCATCAGGAATGATACGTCGACGGGCTAATCGTACAGGTGATGGAAGCCACATAAAAAATATATGGGGATATGGAGATGATGATATTCCACAAGAAGACCTTGAAGAATTAGAAACAATGCAAACATAAAGAAATACAATCAAAAATTTTGTCAAAACTTGTCATTGTACATAACTTTATGATACTTTATTATAATTAATGCACAGTATATTTTTATTAAATATCTAAAATAACATAAAGTTTATAAAAGATATTTTCTGAAGAAACAGACAAATGAAATGGCAAATGTAAATAAAAAATGATTATTGGTACATTCTATCATGCCCTAAGTATTATATATGTATATACATATATATAAATACTTATATATTATATACAGTGTACTTTTCTTTATACGAATATTTTATTATAATTATTTATTTAATAACATAAACTTCAATCATTTCTTTTCAGTAAAAGCATTTCAACTATCTCAAAATGAGAACATCTTTATTATTTTTCGGATTTAAATATTATTAAGTAAAAATAATTGTACTTATTTTAACTATATTTTTCGTATTAAAAGTTTAATAGAAAAATTATCCATCAATATTGTGAATACGAATAATAATATTTATAATAACAAATATAAAAATAATGATACATATACTAATCTTCTTCGTTCATAATATTTTGTATAAAAACTATTGTTTAACTGCCACTACTTTTTACATAAATTTGAATGACTTTCAATTTTTTAAAGATATTTTAACCAATGTATATATTTAATAGCAGTGTTCTATCAAACATTTAAAAGGAAATGACAATGTTAAGTTGACCAGTCCTGGATTAATGAAATTCTCAATAAGGTCACAAGGGTTAAGCAAAGCAGTTTGATAAAGAACAATTGTGGCCTTACAGTCTACCTTCAATCATTCAATAATTTACTTTGAAACTATCTTCCGTATCGATAACAAGTTTTCTAATTTATATTGTTGCTAAAAAAATTTTATAACTGAGACATAATTATCAAGTGATTTATTGTTGATATTAGAGATTGTATATACAAGTGAAAAAAATGTCAGAGGTCGAGAAAACTCCAGAAAAAGATGGTGAAATCCAATGGCATTGGGTCCTTTGGACTATTCATCTTTACATGTTAGGCTCTTATGGAGTTTATACTTTGTTAGCTAATGCTATGTGGATAACAGTATTTTTTGGTAAGTATAAAATTTATCAAGTTTTCTGTTTAAAAAATAAGACAGTTAATACATGAAAATATTTCCTTAGCAATATTTATCATATTTATTGGTGGACTTGGTATAACAATAGGGGCTCATCGTCTTTGGGCTCACCAAAGTTATGAAGCGCAATGGTATATAAAACTATTTTTAATGATATCTCATACTTTAGCCGGAGTTGTAAGTAAAAATACTAATAAATATTTGTTGCAATAATTACTGTTAAGATTATACGAAGAAGATATAAAAATTAAAATGTTGTTAACAGGGTCCAATTCATGATTGGGTTCTAGATCACAGAGTTCACCACAAATATTACGGTACTAATAAAGATCCGTTCAATTACAATCGAGGATTTTTGTACAGTCATTTGATTGCGAATATTAAAAGCAAACCAGCAGATTTTGAAAAAAATTCCAAGATTATAGATATGAGAGATATTGAAACTGATGGTTACGTCTGGTTTCAACGAACGTATTTAATTTATTTTATAGCAATTTTTGTTTTAGTTCATCATTTGAACAATGAAAGTAATATTTTTATTTATTTCAGATTTTATTGGCCTCTTTTTATAATAGTTGGATTACTTTTGCCAATCAATGCACCTGCTGAATACTGGGGTGAATCAATTGGCCATTCAGTATTAGTTCTTGGATTTTTCCGCTTATTAATATTACGTAATATGTGCTGGTTAATTCACAGTGGAGGACACATTTGGGCTCTTCAACCTCATGAAAAGTTAACATCTTTTTTGAATACTCTTTCATTAATATCTATGCTATTTTATTATCGACCTAGAAATCATGGCATGATTGCCATTGATAAAGAAGGAATATACGTTAATCAATATAGCAAATAATTTTAATATATTTACTATTTAGAATATTCATTGTGATAATTTTTAAAAATAACCGAATATACCCTTTTTTATGAGTATATTTTCGTCAAAATTTAGATAATTTTTTTTACTTATTTATAATAATAAACTGCACGATACATCATTATTATTTAAATAAACAGTTTGTATCAGGATTTATTGTTAATTTCAGATTTCCACCTGATCATACTTTGGTATTTCTAATAAGCAAATCTTACTGGCATCATTATCATTATCTACTACCATTTGATTGGAAATGTGGAGAATTTGGTTCTTATGATCAAGGCATTGCCACGAATACATTAAAAATACTCCATGTTTTTGGTGCAGTTTCAGGAATGAAAACTGTATCAAGTACTAATGTTCGAGAAGCTCTTTATAAAGCTACTTCAAAGAACAAATCATTATCTGAAACACTTGAAGAAATTAAAGCAGCTGCAGAATTAGAAACTGTTAAGACAAAACTCCAATATCAACATCATTGACAATAATTGAAGATAAAGATAATTGAATACTTCTGAATGTAACACTTTAAAATATTATTCAATTATAATTCACTGTTAATTTCAACATTGTTTTTGGATTTGTAATTTATTTTTATCAAATAGACTATTGTTAAATAATTGATTGTTATTATTATTTCGTTGAAAAATTGAAAATACATTTACTGTAAAATATATATTTATATTTATTGAATATTTATTTATTTTATTTAATCAATACCAATATAATCATCAGATAATACGGACGAAATATGATGAATTGTATGTATAAAGTAGAATTATAATTATTATTATTAATAATATTGATGCATTAATAAACAGACCATCATCATTAAAATTATCGATACATTCATTAATATTTCTTCGTGCGATTCGCGACCAGCACGAAGTTATAGCTATTCATTCATTGAATTTACTTCATTTTTTCTATGTTAATATTATATATATATATACTATAATGTTCTTACGAGCTACATTGATCATTTTTAATTAAAATAATTATTTTTTTGAATTTTTATGAAAAAAAAGATGAATTATTCTAAGTAATATTTCTGTGAATAACAGATCGAAAATCAATCGAATAATGAATCGTTGTTTTAAAAATTTCCTTTCAATAATTCATCTTTTTCCTTAGATTATGAAAATTAATGAAAATTATTCTTATTTTTACTTATGATACTACACATAATATGACCAATATCATAATTATTACTACTGCTACTTCTACGGCTACTACTACAACTACTGCTGGTATTATTACTAAACTACTATTATAACTACTTCTATGAAATATGAAAATAAAATATCAGTGGTGGTAAATTATGAGAAGAAAATAAATATTTAACAAATAAAATGAATCGTGAAATGTACACTAATAGTCTCAAACCATTTTCAAGTACATTTTATCGTTTCTTTTTTTTGTTTTTCTAATGCCTGAGTTAAATTGTTTTTTATCTTATCAATAACAAATTTTACTGATACTTTGTATGATTTGTAATAACTGCGGATTCTCTCTCTTCAATGGTTTGGTCTTTATCACCCCAACCCCATACGGGATGTGTACCGTCACCTGTTCTTAAAACTCGATGTTTGACCATGTCGTTTGATACTGTTTTTAAGTCGTAGGCCCAGCCAATTCTTGCGAAGAAATCGATGAAAGCAGTGGTAAAGTTCCTTTTATAGTTTCCAAGTTCAGCTGCTTTGTAATCCCATGGGAAAACATGATGATAATTATGCCATCCTTCTCCTAAAGCTCCAACTGCTACTAAAGTATTTTCAGCGGGATTCATGTATCTGAAAAGACATAAATATAAAAATTAATTCTCATATATTCAGTTACCGGGAAATGAAGTTGAATAGGAGTTGAAAAAAAATTATTACTTGTCGTATGGTTTTCCGCCAAAGAAGTGAGCAGCCGAATTAACCAACCATGTCATATTTAATGTAAAAACATAACGAAGTAAAGTTGCTACGAAGTAGGACTCTAGCCACGACTCATTCCATGCATAAACAGGAACAATTGATGGAAGAATAAAGCATAACAGTGGCATAAGAATGAAGTAATATTTTTTCTGGAAAGCTACTACGGGATCGGCTTCAAGATCACTCATATCAATTCCTTTGCCTTTTTGTTTGACATCTGGATGCTTTTTGCAAAGTAACCAACCAACATGTGAGAAGAAAAATCCACGAGTGGCATTATGAGGATCTGCATCAGTTTCACTGAATTTATGATGTACACGATGATCTCTCGACCATTCATAAATGCTGTTCTATAATATAAAATATTTCCGTTATTATTATCTATTTATTATAAACTTAACTTGTGTTAAGAGCCAAGTTTTTTTTTTAATTATATTATAACTGTTCAAATATAATACTTACTTGAAAAGCTAGTGTATTGCATAACATGAGGAATATTCGGAGTGGTAATTTTGCTTTGTATGCACGGTGAGACCATAATCTATGTGCGCCTGCAGTGATTCCAAAACCACTAAGTAGGTAAAGGAGATATGCTGTGAATATTAATTGAAAATTAGTAATTAATTTTTTTTCTCATTACTTTAGTACCAATTTAAACTACGTATATTGTTTACTTTTATATTTGTTTTAATTTTATCAAATTATATGCAGATATATAATATCATATCTTAATGCATTTAAATCAATAACATTTGGAAATTTACAAAATATGATAAAATTAATGATAATTTATGTATAAAAATAAATTTTTTGCTATGTTCCGGTTTTTACGATAAGTCTGTCTTAATCTTATCTGAGTCATAAACAAAATATTTAATTAGACGTTATGTTTTTTAAAGATAGAGCATATAATTTCCTTCTATATGAAGACTGATTATTTCATTTAGCAAGTAATCTCAAGAATAATTTAATGATAATATTTTATTTATCTGTGATAATATTTTATTTTCTACCGAGCACCATTTGTTGCATTAACATTCAACAAGTCGTCGTTTAGATGATGTTTGACTGTTAAAACATATGAAGAGAATCCTGTTGAATGTTTTGTCCTCGGCCTTTCAAAGCCAATTGTGTCTTAATACTCATAAATTGTTCTTAATTATTCAAAATCAAATTTTATTATTTGATATTTTATATACAAAGAATAAGTAATTTAAATAGAGATTTTGATAACTCACCATAAGCTAGGGTTAAAATTTTTGCAGAAGTCAATGCAAGGTATACTCCATAAAGAGCACCGGCGTGGAGACCCAAGAAAATAACGACATTGGTCCAAACAATTTTCCTTTTAAATTCAGGTTTTGGTATTTGGTTCTTTGCTAGTTCTTCTTCGCAAAGAACATTTGTGAGTGCAGTAGTAACATTTGGTGCCATTACGATTTCTTCCTCAGTACGATACTGACAATTTAATACTGAAAACAAAATTAAGGATATTCATACAATGAATAACACAAGACATAACTTACTTCTAATATGTACGCATGCGCTCAATATTATTACGCATCCTGTCAAAATCTACTAGTTTTTTATCTTATATTTGATTTTTTATTTGTGAAAGCCATTTAATAATTATAATTAATATAAATATTATCATATTATATTCATAATTGTATCATAATAAATTTCGTGATATATATGTATGTAATTTTAAATATATATGATAGACAAATAATGTCAAATTAAAAACTATTTAAAGACAATAATTATTCAAAAATATTAACAACGAGAATAAGATGTAACAAAAAAATTTTTGTTAAGTAAAAACAATAAATTTCTCATTACAAAATTAAGTAATAAAAAAACATGATCAATGTTTCACATTTATTGTGAATAAGAACAATATTGTCTAATTGTGTGTACAATAAGATAATAATATTAACAATTTTGTACATGCAAACATTTATTCAATACTCAAACAAATAAGCTTTATATAAAGAATATTGGATGAAATTTCATTGTTATGCATAACAAAAGTAATCATTGTTTTGAATTGTTTCCAAGAAAAACATTTTATTTATTATTCTTAATAATCTATTATCTTCAAATTGGCAATATTTGCTCTTTGAAATAATTTATTTTTTTATAATAAAATCTCCTTTATATCTAAATTAACGACTGATAAAAAAAATTATTTCATATCTCTAAGTAATGATGAAAATATTACAGAGGTTAGCTATTTGTAAACAATCATTTTAAATTGAACATTAATTAACTTCATTTTAATTATTGTGAATAAAAATAGTAACTAATACTTGTTGAAATATTTCAGATTATGTCAACATGTTGAATATGTTTAAAAAATTTGTTTCGAATATTTCATTCACTATTATTGTAATTGATAAATAATTGTCTTATGTTACTTTAATCTCAAATATTTCTGTAGTTATTATATTTATGAATGTTTTTAATACTCTGTCTAGTTTAGTATTGTTAGCTAATTTATGTTAATGAATTACCACCCTGAAAAGTATCCGCTAACTATAAGAGAACTGTATTTAGCATCACTGAGATAGTCTATTGACTACCTCATGAATCTTGTCGGCAAGTGCATGAAGCGCAAACTCAGAAAGAAACATCACAAGCAAGCATATATCGCATTGATGTTGAATTACATTTTTGAAATTGATATCATTGGAAAATAATTCCGTAAAATAAAATATGACTTGAAATAAAATTAAATTGTTGATAAATTAAAATGATTATAATTTATAAAATATTAAAACTTTTTTAAAAAATAGATCATTATAGTTCAAGTAATGTATAAGTGTATAAGATCTTCACGATAACAACAAGTAAATGAATCAAATAAATTGTGAAATTAATTAAATGTTACAAGCAAATTTAATTAGTAATGAAAAATGATTGATTTCTATGATTAATTTGTAGTTCATTGTATAATATGTTAAGTATATAGCAAGTTATAAATATGTGCATTGTTATCGTAACCGAATCATCCACGCGAGGTCCACGTGATTCAATATGAATTATTACAGTTGGTGATTCCGTTGTAATTCAATATTTTTGTGTTTAAATACAAAGTTCATAAACTTAGTGACTCACAACTCTGAACTGTATTAGCATCATGATAAGCACGTGGGTTATGTGAATTAATAAATATTCAAGTCCTGAGAAGTTTTTTTTTTAAATAACTCGTTGAATTGATTGCTAATCTATTACATATGTATTATGATGTGTAATAATGTTCGAATGATGTTAAAGAGCACTAACTGAAAATATATTTTTACTATAAACTCAACTGATATAAAATAAGTCGTACTAAAAAAAATTAGAGATGTTAGATGTATTAGTAAAGCATAGGGCACAGGCGAGTCATACTGACCAATGAGAGCCGAGTTAAAACCTCGCGCCACCTAAAACTGACGAATCCTAAGAACGACCGGAACAGCTGGTGAAGACTCGCGCGCGATCATCAGCACGTATAGGAATATTTCTACTTATCTCTTTCCTTTTCTGACCTTCGTTCCCAACCACTCATTCTTATTCAACGATACACAATTTTCCATACGAGACACGTGAATGTTTTATTGTCCACGTGGACAAATGAAATCTATTTTGTCATTTGAGAGCTTCAAAATATCTGTTATCAATTTAATTTAATTTATTTTAAAACCAGGGTAATTTATGTTATTCGTCGAAATTATATCTTATTCTCTAATTGTTTTGTACCTAAAATACTCTATTCTTATGACGAAATGTATTTTGTTATAATATTACATCATCCTAATATTGAAATTTATTTTTGATGCATTAAACTGTGGTTTGTTTTTTTTTCTTTTACAAAATAAATAAATTGCTTTCATTTATTTAAAAAAAACAGTTATTTTTCTGCTGTTTAAATTGTGGGGTCCATAGATTTAGAGTTAATGATAACAAATTTTTTCTTATTCATTTTATCTTATGAGATCCCGGAAATCTTTTAACAGTCCAACATGACAACTTTCCCCATATTAGATAAAACATGCTTTACTTGATTCATTTCCTTAACTTCCTTAAAATACATGCAAATAAATTACATACTATTATAAATTACATTTAAGCTCACTTGAACTGTCATAAGTCAGTCAAAGGTTGAATGGAAAGTTAATCAACTCAAACTAATTTTTCACTTAAATAATAATTACTCCATAAGCATTGTTCAACAATAATAAAATTTAATAAACTTTTATGACTGTGTAATTATGATACATAAAAAATTGATTATTTCACAGAAAAATTTATTTTGTAAAAATATAAAAAATTACTTGTAACATTATTTTTTTATTGAAAATAACGGTAATAATAATTTTTTTTTATGCATTTTGATGCTATAAATTATTTTTGATTTTTCGATACTATACTAGTTTTTATAATCTAATTGTTCTAAAAAATGTTCAAGTTGCTTCACGATTATTTTATTAATCTATAAATTAGTAGAAGCCTATAGAATATTCAGATAAAAAATATAAACAAATAGTACAATTATATTAATAACAATTTTCCCGTTATTAAAATGTTATTATTTCAATAAAATATTTATTTATATATAATTTTTTTATTAATAAATTAATATAATAAGTAAATTCATTTAAAAATTTTACAAATTTTTAGAAGAGCTTGAAGGAATTTGTAACACCATAAAGCCAGGTATAATAAATACAAGTAACGGAAGAAAACGAGTTTTCTTACCTATAATTTGGATGACGCCACGAAGACACAAAGCCGGCTTCTAACTTACAATCAGTGCACAAGATGTAAAATTTCACGTGGCTTTTAGTTTAATAAAAATACTATTTTCGATATTAAATGATACTTTTCCAATTAAAGTGTTTGTATTTATCCACGTTTATTCTTTACTTATAATCGCCAAGAAAACCGTTGGAAAACTCGACTACGTAGACTGGAAAAGAATCGTGATGAAACATTAATTGACACTAGGAAAATCGACAACATGCACGAGATTAAATACAAGTCGGTATCCTGGGCTATTGTGAGCCTGTTGTGTCGACTACAGAGCTCCAAGTGGCCAACTAATGAAACTCATCTAGCCGTTATTGTCAGGTCTTTTATACCGTTCAAATGGTCAAAGATGCTACTTCCAGGTGAATTTGGCTACTTCTAGTATAGTTTAATATTATTATTATTATTGGATCATTATTTTTAAATTTATAAAAAATTTTTAAATTTTAATTACAACGTGATAGAAAATCAACATAATTCAAACAACGAAAATTCAAACAATTTATTTAACAATTAAAATGTGATAGAAAATCAGAAAATTTAAAACAATTATTTTTCTATGAAATATATTACTCTTTATTATAGTTTTTGACTTATGATTATTTCGAATAACTACTAATCTAATTGAATAATTAAGCATATTGATAAAAATTAACATATGTAAAAAATAAACTCATAAATATTTTTACATTGAATAGATAATCATTATGACTCATTGTTACAGAATAATTTCAGTATGAATTATGATGCTTCTGAATACTGCAACTATCAAAAAAGTTCAAATTAAAGTTTTACTATTTCTCACGGATTAACACAATAAATTGTTGTCACCAAGACAAAATGTAAATATCTGATTGTTCTATGACGCAAAATATGTACAATGTAATCATTTCACACGTCATAAATTATCAAGTTTTAAAGTGACCTTATTTGCAAAAATAATTATAGTTAATTGAACTTTTCTTAATATTCTAATACTTTTAATGAATCTTTTTTCTTTTAAAACTATACAACGTAAATCTTTTTATATGTTTACAAAGATATAATATTAATTAATTTTATACTTTTTTATTTTCACAATCAAAATGACTGGCATCACCTTTACGCTTAATAGTTCAATTTCTTGGATGTTTGTTTCAAGTTATGAGCCCAGCTAATTTTAGAAAAAAATTTAATCTACAATGTTGTTGGATTATAAACAAGATAATTAAACTCTACAACTTCAAGATTCTGAAGAAAAATTGAATTAATAATTATTCCAACCTTTGTTCTTAATTATTAAAGTTTTTTATACAAATAAATATTCATATTTGAAATTACATCGTAGGTAGAATGTTTCATTTTGTTTTAATTAAAATAGTATAAGCACAGTAACACACTTATAGACAACACATTTGTCAAAAATTTTACAATTGGATTATTAAGAATATCAGTGATATCAAGAGAAATCCATCGTATAACAACTTCCGGATGTTTTTTTATCATTAACTATCCAATCTGAGCAAAGCCAGAGACCACGATTGCTATAATAAGAATCAGCGTCAGTCTTAATATGTTTATGATGAAGTTTGTGATCTCTTATTCTATCATAAATTCGATTCTGAAAGTAATTATTGTAATTATTGTAATTACTTGAATATATAATGAATGTAAAATTATGAATATAATTACTATGCTTACTATAGTACAAAAATAGTTACAAGAATACAGAGTAGCATTTTTGTTTTATACGTACGATGACACCAAAGATGATGAACTTCATCAGTAATTCCTCATCCTGATAGATGACTTATTAATCTAATTTCAAGAATAATTCTCATACGAAATGTACACTTTTATGAGCCTTAAAAATAATTCCGATAATTATAAATTGTTACCAGTATTTTCTGATAACATACCTGATAAAATAAGAATCTTCCAACTTTAATATTACTAGTTTTGTAGTTCTTTGAAGTCAGATTGATTAATAAATTTTGTTACGTTTTAATAAATCGTTACAGTATTTATAAATAACTTTTAAAGTAAATTTATAGTAGTTTACGATAAATATGGTATAATATAAAAATAGTGGTGTTTTCAATATTGAATAAATTTTGAATCTATCCTCCTTCAAGTAATTGTAAAAAAATCCATCATTGTAAAAATTTTTTCAGCCAGAATACTCATTTAGTAAATATTTAGTCCCAATGATAGCGTATATTATGGTCTTATCATAAAGTACTCATATTGTGAATTATTAAAATTCAATCATTCTAAGTGTTCATTTGAGTATAAATATTGTTTTTCCACTAGCCCAATTATCATTTCCCATATGACGCGTATAAGATAATCACATTGATATTTCTAGTTCTTGTTGAACTAAATTATAGTTAACGACTTCTTTAATAGATAGACGAAATTATTGATAAAAATGTAATTAAGTAATTTTTTAAAAATTAAAACAATATTTAAAATGTATTGATAAATTTTAATGATACATATTTGCAAATATGTGTATTAATATTTTATGAATTTTTACTATTTGAAATAAAATATTTTATTTGATGACTTTTTGAATAAAATTATCACTTATTAATGAAATAAAAAAACGTTGATTACAGAAAAAAATTTTCACTACTCGTTAGTAATTACTTTTATGTAGATTTATTTCTTCTAAACTATAAAAATTAATATATTCACTTTTTAACAATAGACATAATAGAGAGAATGACATTACAAAAACTTATGAAATACTGCATCAATATATGAATGATAGTTGAATATGTAATACACGTGATGAACTTGTCACCTTTTTAAAAAGATGCTTATTCAACAATAAATCAATTGTTGGGTTTTTTAATATTAATAAATTTGAAGATATTTATTCTGGAAATCTTATATCTCAAAATTAATAGTAATCCTTGCAATACATTTAAATGAATATCTGTTATAGTTTTAGAATAAAATTATTATTTAGATTTATATGCAAATTTCATATTTTAGATCTAAATTAATGTTGAAAAAAACATGTCATTAAAATAAAAAAAGTTTATATGCATTTCAAAAGATTTAAGTTGTAATTAAAAATATATTAATAAAGATATTTTAATGAAATTAAACTTATCTTAAAAAGAGTTAATAAATGAAGTAAAGGTTAACGATCTTACTCATTGAATAAATTATGATAAATTATTTTAATGATAATATTACAGATATGCTATCTTATTATTAGTTAATAAAGAATAAAAAAACATAAAAAAAAATAAACTCTTAGAAAAAAAATCAATTAAGAATATTAATTTAAATAATTTTTCCAGGTACATGCTACGAATATTCAAAAAGTTAAGGAATGCTATTGAGAACAAAATTTTATTTTTAGTAAAGATGTTGAATATTAAAATCGAAAGATGAGTAATCGCGGGGTGCAGGCAAGTCAGCAAATGGGAAATGAACGATGGACATTCTACTTGTTATCAATTAACATGATGCTTTAATTATCATTTAAGCGACTGCATATTTACAAAACGACATAATTTAATAGTGATGCGACCTCAAAATAATTGACGAAAACATTTTTTTGAAGTATGATCAAGTCAAAATAAGTGTAAATAACTTATGTTAAAATTGAAAAACGAATAATCGCAGGGTAAGTCAACATATAAGAAATGAACGATAGACATCCTGCTTGTTATCAATCGACATGAAGCTTTAATTATCATTTAATAATGCGATTTTCAAATAATTAACAAAAATATTGTTTTTCAAGTGTAATCACGTCAATATGAATGTAATTATATATATCTGAAGTTTGATAAAAAAAGTTAGGGATCGACTTTTTTTCAAAAAACTCCAAAACAAAATTATGGTTTATCATTTAATCGTTTTATTATAGTTCCACTTTTTAGGTATTAAAAAATTATTTGAAGAATTAAGTAAAAAATTATCTAATACATTCTATTGATTGTACAAATTATTTATAGCCTTACTATATTATAACAGTAATTATAGTACGGTTACATAAATGTCCCTTATTTAAATTATCTCTACCTCAAATTATATGACTTATTTAAGTATTTGATCAATATATCTGTATTTATCAGATTTCGTGTTACCATCGCCTTTTCTATCAATAACTTTTTCTATATGATCTTTAGATGCATATTTCAAGTCATAGATTAAGCCTAGTTTAGCAAGTAAATTTAGGAAGGATGTTGTTGGATTGAAGAAAAAATTTGAAAATTCTGAGGCTCGGTAATCCCATGGAAAAGCATGATGATAATTGTGCCATCCTTCTCCTATTGTAGCTAATGCTATTAAGAAGTTTTCTGTAGGCAAAATATGTCTGAAAAGGATGATTATCATTAATTCATTATTTAATGATTCAATTTGTTAATAATAATATATAATGCGAAAAATTATTTATACTCACTTATCATAAGTACGATATCCAAACATATGAGCAAAACTGTTTACAGATGCAGTAATATGAATTGCTAAAGGATATCGAATAAATACTTGAGATATTATAGACCATTTTAGATCTTGATTAAAAAAGTACCATGGTATGAAACTGGGTATAACTGCGATACACAGTGTTTGCATTATAGCATAGTTACTGTAAAAAAAATGAATATAACAGCATTTCGTTAAAAAGAACTACTTAATAATGTATAAATAAATTATTTACTTGTCAAAAAATTGTACGACAGGATCAGCTAGAACGTCATCAACACTTATTTTTTGACGACACTCATCAACTTCAGGTTTTTCCTCCAATACTAACCAACCAATGTGACTGAAAAAAAAACCTCGACGAGCATTGTGTGGATCTCCATCAGTATCAGCGTATTTGTGATGAATTCTATGTTGACGTGACCATTGTCGAATTTTCATCTAAAATTAATAATAATCATTTTTGAAAATAATTTATTTCATTTTCATACAATTTTTCTAAATTATAATAAATAAAAATCGTTTATTTTTACCTGTCCAGCAGAGTAAAAGAATAGTGCTAGAAGAATTCGTACAGGTAGTGTGGCTTTATATGTTCGATGACTCCAAAAACGATGAATTCCTGCTGTTACTCCAAGTATGTTGACGTAAGTCATAAAAAATCCTGAAAAATTTATAATTGTATTAAATTGATATCCTTTTTGTCTTAATAATAATTATATCTCACCCCAAGCTACAAGAACCGGATATTCACGGTACGGAAATGTAATGCCATAATATACAAACATGGTTTGTAAAAATGCCATAATGGCAAATTGATGTGGAACAATTCTCGTTTCAAATTCATACCATTTATAATTTTTTTTCTTTACTTTCATATCATCTTTTTCATTCATAATATTTTGAGTAACTATTTCAGCATTATTTGGTACATAATCTTCCGAGTTTGCAACCATTTTTAATGAATTGATGAATTTTAAATAAAAATTATAGTAAGCAGTTTTGATTTGACACTACCAAAATGTCGGACCACTTGTTGAATAGTTTTGTAACCTTTTTTAGCCGGCTTATTCAATCTATATAATTCGAAAATTATTTGAATTTTTCAAATTACTATTTTATAAATTTAAATTAATTATCCAAGTCAATCGTATAGTAATCGTCAATAATTTGATTTCGAAAAATGTAAAAAAATCACATTAAAAATCTAACTTGGTCCACAATTGAGAGAGATAAATTCAACGTGGTCGATTTTTCCCACTAAGTCAATATTCTATAACCTCTAAATTTTCTTTTAAACACTGAAATTTCACTTTTTTGTCTTTTATAATAGAATAACTAAAAGATTATTTAAAGATTAGCCCTTCAAATTTGAAACGATTCGGTAAAAGTCAAAATTTGTTCGTATACAAAATAATATCAGTATAGACAGCTACAAAATAGTTTGAAAGAAATTTTGAACTAAGCGGTTCATTATATACTGCATGAGTTTAACCGCCTAAGCAGACTCGTAAAAAATACCTTCTGAGTAGTATTCAAATACCTATACTCTTACTTCGAACAGTATTCAAATACAAACTAGGATTATTGTGTGAGTGCTTTACGCACTCTTTCGTTAGGTTAGTAAGTATTATGAGTACTATGTAACGCTATCTCATGTAACTAATTATAATTTCTAATTTTCGAATAATCTTGTCAAACAATTTTAATAAAATCTCACAGTCCACTCAATATGCTATCAAAAAGGACGAAAATGAAACGTTCATTGAACATTAATCGATTACATTTGATAACCATATTTCTAAGACGACAGACTTCAGTAAGTATTTGTGATCACATGTCATATTGCATTTTTTTGTTTATAAAAAATTGCTTTTATTTTATTAAATATATTGAGAGCAACGTGTCAAAGATCGAGACATGATGCATATAACTGTCAGTGCTTTTCATGAGTTGTAAACAGTTGAGTTAGTTTTAGAGCAAGTAATTGTATTTTTTCGACAAATAAACTTTTTGGAGTTTTTTTATTTGAAAGTTACATCTAGGCTGAATATATAGAATAAAATGGCATTAATTAAGTGTCATCACTTGTTAAGATAAGAAAAAGAAAAGTGCAAATTGAATAGAATTTGTCGTAATACATGTTTTTTTCATCTTGAAAAGTAATAACAATTAATGCTAAGTTGTTTCATATATTCGGTATAAATGTAGCTTCCGATAAGAAAAAACCTCAAAAAGTTTATTTGTTGATAAACGAGAATTAATTTTTTAAAAAACAGTGATAAGTTTCATATAAACATTTAAATATCTCGAGAACCATCAGTCATGGAAAGTTGAAACTAGTTTTATTTTTTTTCTTATGAAAAATTTTGAAAATTATTTGCATCATGTTTTGATCTCTGATAAGTGGTTTTCGAGATATTGATTAAAATAAAAGCAATTTTTTATAACGCTTCTATTTCTTTGATTTCCTATATGAACTGTCAATTTTTTCCATAAACGAACTCTTGATAGTGCAACGTCAAGTTGACTATCAGAAAAAACATCTCTTTAAGCTTGATACTGATTTTTTAAAATGTTCGACCTTGAGCTTCATTAATAGTCTCATGATAACAACCCTGAAAATAACAGACATAAGACGATTTCTAGTGTTAGCAATACATGTCTACAGAAGATGAAAAATACTAGATTTAAGAGACACTTTTTTGTTCAATTTTCAATAATCTTGAAGAGCATTTTTTTCATTTTTTAATTTAATTTCTTAAAAACTTTTTATAAACCTAAATCTTTGGAAAGCGGTAACTTTTCAACTAAGAACTTTACAGTAAAAATAAAAAAATGCTTTTCTTCTTCTTTCACTTTTTGAACAGAGTACTTTTTAAGTTTTTTATTGTTATAAAATAGCTAATTGACAAAAATTAGTATTTTTTCAAAAGAATTGTTTCTTCGAAACCTTATAGATCTGTAAATGGTAATAAAAAATCTGTATAAATAAAATTATCGAGTAATAAAAATACAAATATAAGTAATAGACAATTTATTATTGCAACGATATAATTATTTATTTAAGTCTAACCACTTTGAGCAGAAATCATAATAATACGAATAATCATTACGCTTCATTACACTCACTCATTGATTGGACTGTGTAATGGCATTATTAAATTCAACATTTTTTCGGATAAATCATAACAAATAAAAAAACTTATTCGATTAATTTCTTATTGAATTCTATTGGAAATATATTTCCTGCAGAAATTCATTAAATCCTATCCAATTATCCCATAGAGATTTATTGAATCGTATTCAGTTTTTCTATGGGAATGAAAAAATTTTGACAGGAGTTGAACGTTTACTTCATACTTCTATTTATTTTTCACATTTTTTATTGAACTGTGGCTTTGTATAAAAATTAGTAAAATTCAATAAGACTATAATATCGTCATGATTTTTTATTGAATAAATGGGAATCGAACTTAACATTTTCAATACGACTACATACAATTTAGTAGAATTTTTGGATTAAAAAAAAATTTTGAATTTTGCTGAAAGTAAATTTTTTTTTATGGAACGTTTTAAATTCTCATGGGCTTGTTATTAAAATATCCAACTGTCATGGAATTAATTAGTAACTTCGTTCAAAAAAATCCTGCTGGTAATACGCACATACAAGGAAGTCGAAGAAAAATGTGCCTTCTATGCAGTAATAATATTCTCTTTAAATTCCAATCGAAACTTTTTCTTATTCAATATCTGTTAATAGAAAAATTCCGTTGCTAAACCCATTCAGTGTTCCGGTTTTCTTCCGAAATCTTGTGAAAAGTCAATAGAATTGTAATTATTTTTATCAGAAAGTTTAATCAGGGATGAGATACTTCACAAATATCAAATATAAGGTTCACGCATGTGCAAAAAAAATATATCTGTATAGAATAATCATGATTTGTCATTTTTTTTAAAATTAAACTTCAAATCTTAGAAGAAAAAGTAATCCTTAACAATAGACAATAAAAGGATAAGCAAACAGATTAGTATTTTTCTCTAATTAATGTGTTTATTATTATTCTTTATCTCACAAATACAGAAGAAAAAAGTTATAAAATGTTGAAAAATATGTTCCGTAACATAAAAAAAATAATTATTCATTATCTACATAAGGAAGAACACTTATACTTGAAGTTTATGAAATTGTTAACAAATGCACACGCATAAAATTCCATCACAATTTGTTGTTGAAGTTTTCCTGAAATATTGAAACTAATACAAAAGAAATTATCGAACTGCATAAACTACTCTTTTAATTGTCAATAAATATGTTCGGATGAAGACACGACGATCTCTTCACTTATAGTAAGCAAAAGCCTATGTGTCGGTCAGGAGGAAAAAGTTATATGTGATCTCAGGTAGTTCATCGATATAAATAAAATTAGAGTTTCTGTCTGTGGTTTGGAGAAAACTACCTCAAACTAAGCTCAAAAAGTTATTCACGTGTTGTTGAAACGTAAATAACCATTTTTAGAATTTCTGTTTGTCTGTCTGTCCGGAGTAATCTTGGAAACAGTTTAATAGATTCCACTGAAACTTTTTTAGACAACAATAAAATCATTATAAAAAAAAGAAATCGAATCTTACAATGCATAAGTAAAAAATACATTTAATCGTTCAGTGAAAGTTAACGGATAAAAATAACAATATTTGCGTATTCGAAAGTGGACGATAAATTAATAAGGTTGAATACAAAATTTAAATATGCTAATAGAAATTAAAAAAGTTAAGGAAGTTCACTTACGTCACTTTAATCAAATGCATGTTCAGGAAAAATAGTAATTAATAATACTTAAATCTGTTAGTTATTCATAATTTTAATATTAATTAATAAAAACTGAGTTCAGTTGCTTACTCAAAATATTTACAATAGCTACCACGATATGAAGGCAAATTTTGTAAAGCGTAATGAAGAAAAAGAGAATGTGAATGGTAAGTCATGATAATGTGGTATAATAATATAACCTTCGAATGTAATCCATTCAGTTTCATAAATTTTTGACATCTACAATAACTATATCCGAAAATGTAATTTTTTTGTACAGAGTTGGTAACGTTTGTACAGAGGTTTAATTAGATTGATTAGATAAAGAAAATGCCAAGTCAGCAAACAATGACGAGGGCTGGTCAGCTAATCAAGGATCCGTAAGTTGAGTGCTAGATAAGCTGGAAGTCGGCAGAAATTCACTGAAAGAAAATGAGATTTCTGTCTTAGTAAGACAGATCAAACCTACTGTCCCAGGGCGTAAGCCTAAATAGATCAAAAGTCGCTAGGGTAGGATAATTATTGCCTGATAGCCAGCTTATGTCTTTGGTGGAGTCCTTGAATGAATTGATCATCTTGAAAAAGCGAATCAAAGTTACTGTCCCAGGTTGTAAGTCTGGACAGTTCATCAGTGACTAGGAAAGGGATGATGAGGATCACCACTTTATAGCGAACTGTTTAAGATGATCTCTAGCAGAAATCATGGATTGAATTGGTGTCGATCTAGCGGACTGATGATACCAGAAAATTAGGAAGTGTCATTTTGGAGGAGTGTCTTTATGGAAACCTGAAGAGGCCTCTTAGAGACGTCACAATGACGACACTAATGGACACAGATCCAGAACTACAATCACTTCTTGGTTAAGAGAAACAAGCATGGAAACTAAAACCTTGATTCGTTAAAGCAAAGCAGAAGTCGACTTTCTCAGAGCTCAGGCAGAACTGGCCCCTTGTCCCGCTTTATTTTCGCAGGCTTTTCTCAAGAAAGGAGAAAAATGGGACTTGAGATAAGAGTGGAAAGAAAGGAGGTGGTGGGAATTTTCTCACCCAGAAGATGGGCATAAAAAAAGGTTTGAATGAATGCTTTGCCGTATGCGGGTTTAAAGGATTCAGGAAATTATCTTTTTTTGTATCAATTTAATGATCAAGACATCTGGAATGGTTGGGAGATTAGGACATGTAGCTTGCTTATGGAAGGGTTTGGTTTTATAACTTGAAAATGTATTTTTTCTTAAAATATTTTATGCAAATTCAAGTCAATAATTTATATTTAAAATATCTTACATCATTAATTTAAAAAATTAATTTCAAATGAAGAACTATTCGAGAGGTTATAACATGTAAACAATGTCATGGAACAAAATGTCAAAATTAAATATCACAAAAACAAGTAAAATCAATGAAAAATAAATGTCAAAGTAAAAAAAAAGTTTCAAATGCATGACCCGGAGACTTGAATGCAGAAAAAATTTTACAAATTCCGTGTCTTATAATTGCCTCTTCCCCTGATGTAGGTGGGGTTTATCGTCTCCCACCTGAATTCTTAGTCTCATTTGTAATTAGTTATTGGAGGTTCGTTATTAGAACATTACATGGTAGGGAAGTAAAACAGTATCGTCATTACTAATTAATCCTATGTACAAAGCGGACGGTTGTTTTTGATATGATAATTGTAAGTTTTTTTTGTCACTTTTATTGGTGTCATTTTTTTAAAACTAATAGTTCATAATTACATAAAATTAAAAGATTTTTCATAATACAGTCAGAATACAAATATAACAATAATATCAGTGCTCTTTAGTGGTCTGAGTGCGACCCGAAAGACCCACACGACTCATTTCCTAGTGAGAAGGATAAAAATATTTTTTGGTTCTTAAAATCAAGCATTATTATTATTATATCAATTATAATCATTATTAGGAGATCAGCCGTGAAAGTTTTGCCTAAATCGCAAAATGGAGCTAGTTTACTATTTTTTTAAGTTCTTTAACTTAGCAAAAAAATGGCTTGACCGATTTTGCTGAAAACCTAATCAGTTTTAAGTTGCATAATTATGCACCGAATGCAATTGGTACCTCGTCGATATCGTTTTTTGTTTTTGAGATAATCGAGACGAAAAATAATTCCAAACGTACATGCGTACATACACACACAAACGTCCATTTATAAACTTTATCAAAATTCGGGATTCGCAAAAGTGAAAAAGACAATGATAAAGACATTACCTGACTTAATTTTGAATTCTTATCACTAGTAGTAATTGTAAAAATATTAATATGCCTATCGTTTTCAATATATAATTGTTGAAAAATATTTGAATGACATAGTCATTTTTTTATACTATAAGAATTTAAGGCAAATGAAATACTAAAATAGTTTCAATAAAAAGATATTAATAATAAGAAGAGATAGATGTGATGGAAGAAAACGAAAGTAAAGATGAAATTTTTGAAGTGAAGTGATATGAATTTTTTTTAAAGTAAAGTTATCATATTAGATTCTTAGAAAAGTAATAAAGATAGAAATAGTAATCGGAATATTTTGAAATAAAGTTATCAGTAAATAATAATAATACAATTTTATATCTCAATGTGAATGATATAATGTATCATATAATCAATTCGCATTTGAATAAATTTTACTATAAATTAAAATCATGATCAAATAGTATATAAACCATATTCTTGAATAAAAACTTAATAATTAATTATTACAACAAAAAAGTTTGCTAACTGCAATGATCATAAAAATTAATATATAATATGAGTTATAATGCCATGAGAAAAAGATTCTGATAGATGGTTAAGATTGAAAAATTTTATCAAAAATAATACTTATATATTTACTTATTCATTTATTTATTAATCAAATAGACCCAACAGTACAGAGCTATTGTTAGAATCGTGTAAGACCATAATGGCATTATATATGAAAAAAAAACCTAAAAAACAAGGTGTGTACAGAGTAGGGCATGGCATGTTTATATAAAAATAACAATAAAAAAACAAAAGTCCGTAATATAACAAAATAAGAAAGCTTCATATACAAAGTAATCAAAAAGTCAAAATAAAGTAAAGCACAGTAATATAAAATAAAGGGCATGATGCCGACTATAAATTGTACTCAAAAGACCCACATGCTAAGATATACGAATATAAAAGAAAAAAGAAAAAGCTGATTCCCATCATTAAAGACCTATAAAATATTTCAAACCTTTTTGTTTCAGTTAAATATACAATAATTTATTCGCTAGTTTGTAAAACAAGTAACAATTTCTAATTTTCATTTAGAAGAAGTTACTTTAAAAAATGACTGGCTTTTACGATTATAGTGGAGAGTTTTAATAGTTGGATGAGAGCCATTTCCAAGATATTCTACTTCTTTTCGTACTTGATCATGTGGTACAGTATATAAATTATGAGCTAGTCCTACAAAAGCAAATAAATTAATCCAGCTTGCTGTAGGATTGAAGTGTCCATTTATATCCGTTGATCTATAATCTGATGGAAATACATGATGAAAGTTTTGCCAGCCTTCCCCCAATGTCAGAAAACTAACTAATTTATTATCTGCTGGCAAAATATTCCTAAAAAATATCATCATTAATTATCAATGTTTGATAAAAATTTCGATATTAGCTTTAAATTATTACCTATTGTAACTATATGTTCCAATAGTTGATGCAAGGCTATTGATGGACCAAATAGAATGAAGTACAAATGGATATCTAATAAATAATTGAGATACTATTGCCCATTCAAGATCTTGATTGAAAAAATATACAGGAATGAAAATTGGTAAAATGATAGAAAATAAAATGGTGTTAAGATAAAAATTCCTGCGTTTAAAAAAAGTGAAGAAAATGTATTAGTTCTTATTTATACGATAAAATTAAATGTCACAATCATTAAAATTAAATTACCCATCAAAAAATTGAATGACAGTATCATCTCCAACGTCACGCATGTCAACTTTAGCTTTAAGTTTTTGAGTTTCAGGGTTTTCCTTCATAACTAACCACCCAACATGACTAAACCAAAAACCACGTCGATTATTATAAGGATCTCCTTCGCATTGTAGATATTGATGATGAGCTCTATGGTTCCTAACCCAGGTGAATATTTTTTGCTAAAAATATCATAAACATTATCATTTATTTGAATATAAATAAAATAAAGTAAAAATTCTTCTGAAGATGGTGAAAAATTGTTTTTATGCCTATTTACTCACAAATCCACTTAGATAATAACAAATGGCGAGAAAAATTCGAAGACTTGTATCAGCTTCATAAGTACGATGTGCCCAAAGACGATGAGCTCCGGCTGTCACTCCCAATATTGATAAATAGGCTATTACATACGCTATAAAAATTTTTACATTAGTATCGAAAACAAATTTGAATATTGATTAAAATATAATATATTTAGGAATATAAAATCGTTATAATTGTAATAAGTTACTAAATATTAATCACTGAAAGATTATCAGAAGACATTGCTTATCTGTCAAATTGTATTTAACAAAATGACTACTGAATTTCATGTAAAACACTTTGATAGATTAATAATAAATACTTACCCCATAGCAGCAAAAAGATTTGTTCACTATATGGAAATGTGATTGCTGTATAAATACTCACAACATTAAAAACTATCATGAGTAATAATTTTGGCCAAATAATTTTATTCGAAAGTTCATGATAATTTTTGGAGTTATCGTACTCATCTTCTAAATCTTGAGCATATTGTTTTGATTGATAATAAGAATTCCATCGTTCAAGATGTTTGGTATCATTGCAATTCGGTGGCATCTTTACTCGATATTTTTTTTTAAAAGTTTAAATCGAAAGTAATTCAAGTATTCATAAAGACTTTGATTAGTGTAATAAATAAAAGAGATATGAACTTTGTATCAACGTTTTCGTATTCTAGTTCATCAACAGGAAGTCACACTCTTTTTGCAATAGTACAATAGTCTAAGCGAATTTATATATCGACGTCAGATATTCAATGCATCACGTGGATAAGAGTGCGAACAATCGAAATTTTTTTTTTTTTTTCATAAACAGAAGCGTAAGTGGTTGAGTAATTGTTAAGTCACAAAATGTATAACTAGCTAACCGAACAATAGAAGTTTATATATACATGCAATCATTCGATACAGTCATTGAATAACTTATTATATATTGAACTGTATTGATTTAATAAAAAGTGCATCAGTAATTTGAATTTTACTATAGATTTTTTGTTTATACATCAATTTTTCTCAAAATATATTTCATAAATATGTAGAATGTTTTAACAAATGATATTTCTTTAATGAATTTGCAAAAAACTGATTTTCATTAACCTTGTGTGATCATGAATAGTCTGAAATTCATTTTTGCTATTTATGCAACTAAAACCTCCTTTTACGAAGCTTTTCGTTACATTATTTTTGTTACGTAATAATAATATTTTTAACAAAAATGATTATTGATAATGCACTCTTAATCCCATTAAAAGATAATAATTTTTATCTTATGGCAATTTATGATTACTCATATTTGTTAGCATTATTTTGTACTGCATTGATCAATAAAAATGTTCTATTGTAGTAACAATATTTAAGCGTACAATTAGTTAATTTATTATAGATGTGATTATTATCTAGTCAGATGTTGTATCATAAATTAATCGATTTTCCGACTATCAAAATTTCACATCTCATCAAAACCACGCCATTTATTCGTTCGTTGACTCAGAGTTATTCTGGTGTGACATTTATCAAACCTCACGCGAACTTGAATCGCCAAAATTATTCTACTCATACTTATTTGGTATAATATTAATTAAATCACTTGTTCATTTTCTTTGACATGAAAAAATATTATCCGTCAAAATATAAGTTAATATATTAATAGAAACAGTAACGTTAAATAAAATGTTCGGTTTATCATTAATTCTGTTATCATTAATTTCTATTCAACATCAAATACTTACTCATGAATCTCCATCACCTATGACACTTCAATTGATTCTTGAATATTCCAAATGGCGATCATGGAACCAAATAGTTCTTTTTGATGATTTATCCGCAAGTTGTAAGTATATAGTTGAACTTTCATCCATAATCAAAGCCACTAATAACAAAAAAATTCTAATTAATAAAAAAAGTGATAATTTTATATTTTATTTAATATTATTTAATTCATTAAATCATTATATATTATTTAATTCAGATGATGCTTTATCATATATAAAACCACTTCTTCGATGTCTTAGTGATCAAGGAATGAGTATTTCTTTCCAGCCTATACGTTCCCCGAAATTACCAGAAGTTCTTCGGATTCAAACTCATCGAGTAGGAGCTATTGTTCTACTCGATCATGTTAATTCAACATCTGCTGATAATGTTCTTAAAATTGTAAAAAAAAACTTATAAAAATAATAACAAGTTTTTGTAAATTAATCGTGAATAATGATTGTGAATTATTATTTATAGGCTTCTAACAAAAGATTATTTGATTATTACATATCCTGGTTACTGATAACTTCACGACCAAATGATGCATCAATCGACATCAGTCTACGTAATCTTTCAATAGGTATCAATACTGATGTCATTATAGCCACTTCGTCACGTTTAAATCAATATACGCAAACTCGTGATTTTTGGAATAAGTATGTATTTTGTATAATACAATCGAATTTATTCGAATGATGTAATAGTTTAACATCAATAACTAATAGGACCTGTAAAGCATTACGTGATTATACAACAACTTATGAATATATTGATACAAATAATGAAGAAAATATAATTGAGAATGTCACTCAAAATTTAGATTATTCTCCTAAAATTAATTCAACTGTGTGCTTTTATCTTGTTCATATTTATAAAATTAAAATATCCGATAATTTTAGTTTAATTGTAGACCCTTTGGGGTCATGGAGTCCTGGCATGCTCATGATTAAACTTCCGGTAAATAAAAAAGAACTAAATAAAATTGGATCTTATTATATCTACTCTATATGAGTATATTTTTAGATGGATGTAGTATTGAGAAATAATTTCCATCGATTGCCAATAATTGTTGGAGTGTTGAATGGTACAAGTGAGAGTCAAGATGAAGAAAATTCATCATATGAAGACGGTAATAGTGATGATAGTCCACTCAATGACTTTATAAATTTTTTAGCTAGTAGCTTGAATGCAAGGTAGTGTATATAATATTCCATTTTAATTATAAAATTGTACGACTTTTCTAATGACTTATTCTGTCAAGTTTGGAGACTGTGTTTCATGAAAAGGTAGGTACTATGACAAATAAAGTATGGAGTAATCTTCTGGGAGATATCTATAGTGGTAATGTTGACATTGGATTGGGTTACATAACAATTAACGATGATCGCCAACGAGACATGACTTTTTCTCATCCTTTAATACGATACACGTAGGTCTATGTTCATTGTAATAAAAATTAAAACCTATCATTCAATATAATTTCCATGATGTTTATAATTAAATCGATTATTTTGATAGACGAAATATTTATATCCGACCACCAGAATCTAGTTCGATGAGAGATATTTTTCTTCAGCCTTTTAATAATCGTCTTTTACTGTGTGTCGCTCTCATGCATACTCTCATTGTTCTAACTATTGGAACTATTAATTATGCCACAAAGAATTCATCTTATAAACAATCTATGAAAGGAACAAGTTTTGGAGAAGCTACACTTTGGTGTACTGGAATTATGTTTATGCAAGGTTAATTAAGTTTATTACTTCATTTTAACAATAGTATTTATTAAGTTTAAGTTTTTAATTCAATTATGTTGAATAATTTAGGTTCACCGTGGAAGCCACAGACGTTATCTGGAAAATTAGCACTTTTATCAAGTTTAATTTTTGCTCTAGTAACATATAATGCTTATGCAGGTTTTATTACTTCAATATTATCTGTACAAGTTACTGGAATTAAAAATGTTAATGATTTACTACAAAATAATTTTAAAGTCGGGTACAGTGAGCTTGATGATGAATTTATGAGGGTAAGGTTTTATTGTTTAATTGGTTCTCACTTTCAATAGGTGTCTGCACTTGTTTAGCTATCTGACTAATGAGTAAAATATAGATTAATTAAAATAATCCAATAACTAGTAGTAGTACTGATGGTATTGAAATATTCATTTCAGACAACTAACGACAGTAATCTACGACTATTGTATATTAAAGCTTTTAATAGTCGAGAATCTCGCTTGGATACTACTTTGGGATTGAAAAAAGCTGTTGATGGTGGTTATGGATTTTTTGCTAGTGCCTCTTTAGCTAGAAGGACTCTAAGAACTGCTCTTATACAAGAACGATGTTCATTAAAAGAAATTGAAGTTGGACAAACGTTTACAACTGTCGCTTTACCCATGGAAAAACAAAGCCCCTATGAAAAGATTATCAATCTTAGGTAAGTTATCTAATTTTGTGTTTTCTTTTATTTATAACAAAAATTTTATTTAATTTTTCTTAGTATTTTGAAAATGCGAGAACATGGAGTCATTGATAGAATCGCAGATCGAATGCTGCCTGATATGCCTAAATGTCGAGATTCAACAACATTCCGTAGTGCCAGAATAGCTGATGTATATTCAGCTTTTATTATTCTTATGATTGGAGTTGTTACTGCAATATCTCTTGGTATAGTCGAACGAATTTGGAATAATAGACTAAATTTAAAGAATAAATTGTTCAATTATAATTCAAATGATAAAAGCAAAAACAATCAAATTTTATCGTTCAAAAATTTTTTCAAGTATAAAAAACCGAATAACAATTTAAGTAACATAATACAAAATAGTTACTTTAATGAGAATCAAAATTGGTGGGATAATTATTACTATTATTCATGGAATCAGAATATTAAAAAAAAATTAAATCATCAGCATCCAAAGTTATTGAAAAAACATTCAATAAATTCTCAAGAACATGTATTACCTTTCCGAAATTAAACATAAGTAAATTATTTTCCAACAAAGAGTGAAGTTAACAGGTCCTAACGGTATTAACAGATGATTAATTATACAACAGACATTAATATTATCTAATCTTCTGTTACTAAAAATAGTTTTTTATTGCATGAGAACTATGTTCAATATAAAAAAAGAGTAGTTAACTAAAATTTTTAAAATATCATCTTTCTCTGAGATGAATCTTCATTTTGTGAAAAATACTTTTTATCTTGACTTTCTTCAAAATTTCTACAGTCACTAAAAATTCCCCCATTACTTCGACAAAAAATTGTAGCTAAACTTGTGTTTTGTGATTTGAGAAACCACTTTAACCAGTATTTATAAACGTTTGTTGTACCAATGTTTTGAATTAATTCAATACACTTGTTTTTTAATCTTAAATGATAATTCATAAATATTAGAATTATATTATTTTTTAAACATTTCTAAACTTACTCAAACTCCCAAAGTTTGTTGTCAGATAATTCAATTAGAGTAGCACCTGGTAAGTTTTCTCCAATATATCTTTCTCCATTGGTTTCTCTCAATCTATAACTTTTTAAATAAATTAAAAAATAAATAAATAATTAATTATCAATTAGTAGATGCGAATGTATCACAAAATTTTGCATATAATATTTATCATTGATAATTTTTATTACCGATAAAAAAACTCGTTGCATATTGATCTCAGAACATTATCAGCTTCTGTATCATTAAGCCATTGGACATGGGGTGACATCGTATCATGCACATGAGTAAGTGTTTCGTTAATCTGAAATTTTTTTTAATCAGATAACACATGATTGATAATAAATATTACACAATAATGTTGAAAATAACATTGAAAAAATTATAGAAATAAAGATATTAACCTTATCAGCAATAATTAAACATAAACCGCATTTGACACACACTGATGAGAAAGGAATTTTTACCAAATTAGAATCTGTATTGTAAACTATTTTTTGCACAATTCCAAATTTTTTATCACAATCACAGAAATTTTTTTCTTTATCAATTATTTTATCAGATTTTTCATTATAATCAACTATATTAGATAAAAAAGATTTTTCTCCGCTACATGGCAAAAATAATGTTTTTTTATCTGATGCTCCAATGCTAGTATTTAAAATAAATAAAAATATGATGATTTTCATCATTTGTATAAAAGATATATAAACAAATTATTCAAAAATAATATTGAATATAAAATAATAGATTACAATACAAAAATGATATTTTCATATCGAAATTGTCAAAATAAATTTATGACAGATCAAATAAATAATTATGAAACAGGTTATGTGTAATACAAACAATTTCGTTGTTACTATTAGTCGATAAAGTAAATTATGTCTGGGGAAAAATTAGTGGACGTATAGGGACGTTTTTATTAATCCCCAGCATACATATGTATTAAATTTTTGTGTTATTGGTAAGAATGTATTTTATTGATCTTGATATGTTTTTAATAAATTTCGATTAAAATATATTTAATTCTCAAAAAATTCATTGTTCTCGGATTATAATGTAACACAATACATTTAATAATTGGCATTTTATATCAAATAGTTGTATATAATAGCAATTAATGCATTACGTTTCCATACATTAAAAAACAATACACGTATTTGTATATCTGTATACAAATATATTCAAAGGAAAAGCGAAAATATATATACATACACATGTATAACATACATGTATGTATATACAGTTAGTAACTAGACATCGTCATCACACAAATCAGGTGGATTTGACATTTCCAGGATTTTAAATTATATTATTGTTTTACTGTTTAAAATTCAAAATGTTATTTTAAAATTCAATAATGCTTGTGCTAATGTGTTGTTTATCTGAATCCTACAAATTAACAAAAACAATACGGATAAATAGTGTAAATTCATCTGTGAATGGTGATATCCAGAATTTTATTGAAGAAGTTTAGTTATTGCGTATTATTTGATCTAGTGGACAAATTTTTTAGCCTACACAAAAGCATTTTATAGAATTGGGAGAATAGTTAATACTTTATATGAATAATTTAAAAAATAATTGGGTCATATTACAGTAAAAAACAACGGCTGATATAATATGGCTGCCAATTTAGAAGAAGAGCAAAGTTTACGAGAGTGTGAAGAATATGTACAGAGACACAACATACAGCAAGTTTTAAAAGACTGCATTGTTCAATTATGTGTTGGAAGACCTCAAAATCCAATATCATTTTTACGGGAATATTTCCAAAAATTAGAAAGGGTGAGAAATATTTTTTAACATTTACACTTTTATAAGCTTAAAATAAACCAATTATCATACAAGAAACAGTGATCAAATTTATTTATTATTTAACTGGTATTATTATTATTACTATTAAATCTAATAATCAATTATTATATATATTTAAACTAGATTTACACATTAAGTTTCATGAAATTGAAAAAAAAGGCGCCCAACAAAAATTCATAGTTACTAATAACCCTAGAACAGAGGTAGGCAAACTTAGCTTTTAGGAACTAGAGCAGCTTCCATGGTTTTCCTAAAAGAAAGTGATCGAGACTGGGTCTCCATGAAAAACTTGGATGAATTTTTGTTTCTCAGCTCCCTTAGTGTCTGTACTAAGGTTGGGCAAATTGGAGCTTTTTCAGAGTAAGAAAGATGGACTCATGAAAATTTAACATAGTGCCGTTTTTACTTACTCTTACGATAATCGTAGCTACCTGGAGAGTAATCGGAGTAATAAGAGTAACCACTGCCTAGCACTCCTCCAGACTATGTAACTCTAAATCATTTTAAAAAATTGTCGTCAACGATATTTGATAGTTTTTTTTTTTCATTTTTTGATATTTTTCAATAAAATAAAAACGAGATATTTTTTTAATTCAATATTAACTTTATTAGCTCATAAACTTACAGCTTTGGCTAAGTTGATTTGTTTCCATTCATTCTAAAGTAAATATGGAATATTATGGTATGTATGTTCACAAATGACCCCATAAGTATCGGAAGATTATGGATAGATTAATTGACATTAAAATTATTGATTATCTTTCAAATATTTGTACTATTGTATTTTAATATTGTATTTTATAATACTATAAAACAGTTCTAGATTTCATCATGAACAAATTCTATTTAGATTATTTGATAAATTTAATACAATATAATAATGAGATTAGTATGTATCACAGTATCTAATAATGAAACCCTTAGAATGATAAATTATATTGTATTTGAAAAGTAATAATTATTATAAGTAAAGAATATTTAGTAAATGAAAAAAAATTAGAGTAGTACACGAACGCATGATATAAAATCATAAAGTTTTATCCTAGAAAGGTTTTAAATATCTAGAGTAAGGTAGGCAGTATAAGTGTGGGAGAGGAGAAGGTTGAGATAGAGCCCTTGTATATAAACTTCACTAGGGGACTGTTGATCTAATCTTAGAATATGCTCGAAATATAACAAGTGACACCTTAGCCAATAGCAACAACAGAGAAAGATATTGGGAAAAAAGAAAGAGAGACAGAGAGAGAGGTAGTCAAGTTCTACGTAACAAAAATATGGAAACTAGTGACTCCTGGAGTACAGACTACTCTGAATTACGACATTGTTTCTTCTGTAAAATTTTTTATTAATTTCTTATAAAAAATATATTGTGTTTAATTTTTTCGGTATATTTGTTTAATATCTTTGAGGCTAGAAAATTCATAGTATTTGGAATATTTGTTTTATCAATTAATTTCAAGTATTAAAATTTATCAGTCATTGTTTATCAATTGAAATATTTGTTCTGCTATTTACAAGAGAAAATTTTTAGTATACTACGAGAAAAACATTGTGAGATATTAAAGTGAATTAAACGATTATTTAAACTTTAAAAATACATTTGTCTATTTGACATTATAATATATTATAATTATTATTCACATACAAAATTATTTTATTTTGTCATAATGAAAGAGGTAGACAATAAATAATACATGACAAGCAGGTAATGTAGTAAAATATTGAATTACATAAATTGTTGTGGATCAATAGGAACAGGCGCACGATGCAAAACAACAAATTGCTACAAGTCCCGAGGACATTGAAGATCTTCCAGCAGGTCAACAAGGTCCTCAAGTGCCAAGACGCCGAGGTGGTATTTCTGCTGAACCAGTATCTGAAGAAGATGCTACCAGTTATGTCAAAAAAGTTGTTCCCAAAGATTACAAAACTATGGCTGCATTGAGCAAAGCTATTGCCAAGAATGTTCTTTTTGCACATCTTGATGAAAATGAACGATCTGATATATTTGATGCAATGTTTCCTGTTACATTTCTTCCTGGTGAACCAATTATTCGTCAAGGTTTTTTTTATATTATATTTATTATTACCTTAAAAAATTTTATAAAATTGAGTTATTCATAATTACAATATACTTTTTTTTTATTAATGTAGGAGATGAGGGTGATAACTTTTATGTTATTGATCAAGGAGAAGTAGAAATATTCGTAAATGGTGAGTTAGTTACAACGATTGGGGAAGGTGGCAGTTTTGGTGAGTTAGCATTAATTTATGGAACTCCACGAGCTGCAACTGTCAGAGCTAAAACTGATGTTAAACTTTGGGGGATTGATCGAGACTCTTATCGACGAATCCTTATGGGATCAACTATTAGAAAAAGAAAAATGTATGAAGAATTTTTATCCAGAGTATCTATTTTAGGTAATAATAACATATTACTGTGACAGAATATTTAATTAACTTCTTTGATATCATAATTTTATATTCAAATTTATATCTTGACCTAGAATCACTGGACAAATGGGAACGGCTCACTGTAGCTGATGCCCTTGAACCTGTTGTGTTCGAGGATGGAGAAACGATTGTACGACAAGGAGAACCTGGAGAAGATTTTTATATTATAGTTGAAGGTACTGCAGTGGTTCTTCAACAACGTAGTGAAGGAGAAGAACCAACGGAAGTTGGGAGACTTGGACCATCCGATTATTTTGGTAATTAATATATATATAGCAATGATTAATTAATAAGTAAAAAGAATATAATAACATGATAATTATTTTATAGGAGAAATAGCTTTATTACTAGATAGGCCAAGAGCAGCAACTGTGGTGGCTCGTGGACCTCTAAAATGTGTAAAACTAGATAGAGCACGCTTTGAGCGGGTCTTGGGGCTATGTGCTGATATTCTTAAACGAAATATAACTCAATACAACAGTTTTGTGTCACTTTCTGTGTGAATCACTATAAAAATGGATATCGACATTAATTATAACATTATCAAAGCAAACTTTTTTCGCTCATTGTTATAATTTCTTATTTTATTAATATTTTCATCATCAGTCTATTGTACCACTAATGATCTGAAAATGATCTAACGTTAGATGTTCAATAATAAATAAAATTATACGACGAATGATTTTTTTCATTTATTAGTTTAAAATAGAAAACTTTTCGACAATGATCTTTGTTAAGATATATGATACGTTATGAATGTAATTGCTTTATTCATATGTTGTCTTTAAAAGAGATGAGAATTTTTTATAAATATACATATTTTTAAGTGACTTATCTACAGACCATTTTGTTAATAAAAGAGAAATTATTATTATATAAGATTTAAGATAATTGGGGATCTATAATGTTGTAAAAAATATGAAATTTTATTTTTAAAAAAAAATAATTTATTATGCACATTTGATTCTCCAGGCGTAGCGGTACAAACGAGATCGAATAATTATATTGTGATACTGCATCGATTTATTTCAATCTGGGAATAAAAAAATGGTGGTTTGTTAGAATCACTATTCTTCAGTTTGAAAAAATCCTTTTTGATGATAAATTAATGTAACTTATCACTAATAATTACTAATCCTCTTCATTGTAAAAATTAATTTTCCTCGCGCTTTTCATTAGTAGATTATGTACAGATGATTTCCCACAATTTCATTGAATTTTATGAATATAATTCTCATATTTGTTTGATCATGAGTCCGTACAGCATAAAAATAAATTATCCAGAAAAAACAATTCCAGGTACTAAAAAATCTTTTCTCCTTTAATTAATTAAGATGATGAAATAATTTTAATGAAAAATAATTGATCATTAGAGTCGTAAGTCATTGGACTGCATAATCTTAGAGTCAGAATCAAAGTCATAATACGATGTAATCCTGGTTGAGAGTCCAATAATGAATTAATTTACAATTATTAATATTTACAAATTGAATGTTGCATTGTTTATATTTGATGTCGTAGATACTTCAATATTTTCTTGATGCTTCGTGGTATTTCTATGGATCTTTCTATACCATCAAGAGAACTGATGATTAAATGTATAAGTGTGAATTTTTGTTTAGTAACTATTGCTGGATAAAAGTGAGACGGAGTATTTTGAGAAGAAAATCCTGACGTTTTTTGCTCACAACGTGAAAATGCAACGATTTTACTGATGACCATGAAAGGTCATATTATATATGTATATGTATAAATTGAAAATATATATATACATATATGTAATATAAGTATAGTAAATACACTTATATAAAATTAATATATATACAAAAAATGTACATAATATGTACATGTGCGCAATCAAGCGCGAGGTTTAACTCTTGCAGAGGGATGTATATTTTTTTCACTTTCATGAGAGGAAGAACGAATGTTGGTGGGGTTTACCAACCACTTAGAAAACCACTGCTGGCTTTGCAATCAAGAAACCGTCGTTCAGAGTCAGCATAAATTAACCCAAATTCAGTTACAAATTCATAAAACTTGTCCAAAGATTGAAAGGCCAATTCTGCTACGATGAAATCAATCGCCAAATTTTGTCGATAGCTAAACAGCAGAAGAAATTATTTCATTAGTAATAAAATAAAATTAATTGATGTAAAATAATAGAAGAGAAAATTTATGAACAATAAGTATTATTGAGAAAATCTTAAATCGCTGCTTTGTCATCCTGAAACAGAAATCTTTTTGATGTTAGACACAGTAGGGATTTTTAAAAATTATTTAAAAAAATAATTTTTCATAAATTAAATCATTTACAAATTTCATATATATGAATAAAAAAATAATGACTTTCAAAAAGAAAAATCATTTAAATAAAAAAAAAGACTTAATTTTTGTCAATTATAAATATTTTGATTCAAAAAATATCAAAATATGAAATGAAATAAGATAATGCTAAAAAATAAGCAAACCAATGGAAAAATTAGCAAAGAAATAATTTTTAGTATACATACGACTTGATCATGTGCTTGAGAGCAATTTTTCTTTCTCGTGCGATAAACCAATCCATGAGGTAACCAGCCATTCGTGGCGCTGTCATATATAATTTGAAGAAAATATGGAAGTTACCCAACCACCAGGCTGAACGTACTTTTAACGCGTGTTTAATACAATCATCTTTTTTGTCTTCATCGGTTAGAGCAGCTAAAATAGTGGTAAGATCTGAAATGCAAATAAATAGATTATTTATGCATTATTGAAAACTAATCATTATCATTATTGTCATCACATTGCCTTCTTACCTTGTGTATTTTTAGTAAAAATGTAATACAAAATACGATAAGCAATAAATTCACAACGATTCTCGCCACCAACATCTTGGTAAAGCATTCTCAATTGTGTTTGACATTGATTGAACTCCTCGTGATCTCCGCGTTCCAGTGCTACGTGGGCATGAGTTTCATAAACATGTACCGTAAATGCATCTCTAATACCTTGTACAGTCAAATCTTGACGAATGGATTTTAATTGATCACACGCATATCTGTAATCTTGCTCCAATTTCCACCGCTTTTTTACGTGAGCCAATGAAGATTGAAGAACACTTACCGGACGTACTGCAGATGCAGCTGGAGCCTAAAATATTGAAAATAAATTATGTAACATGAAACCAATCATTAAAAAAATGACTTTAATAAAAAAAAAAATGAAATTACCGAGGTAAGACGCAAATAAGGTTTTTCGATATCTTTACAGGTACCAATGATATGGAGTCCAGTGAAGTCAAACTCGACGTTGTCATCTTTGTTGATAGAAGTCCTAGTAACTGAATCATTAAATCTCGCTGCACGTTGTTGAAGTTTTTCCTTGGATCCTAATTCCTCACCGTTGCCTGTAGCTAAACCAAATTCGGAATAGAAATGTGACTTAGATTGTTTATTCTTCTTGACCTTCTTCGTAGAATGAGTTTTGCTTCGATTGGATTTTTTAGTTTTCGACGACGATTTGTGATCATGTCCACGATCACTAACGCTAGATGATGACGAACTGCTTCGCCTATATTTACGCGCCGGTGGACTATGAGAAGATGAACGTGACCTGGATTTAGACTTTGATCGAGTTCGTGATTTAGATCGTCCATGTCCCATAGATAAACGTGCACCTAAACGCGCACCTAATGATGTTGAAAGACCTGTTTTGCGTAAAGTCCCCGGTGAAACGGTCAGTGGATTGTTAGGTTTAACTATTGGGGTTTTTGCTTTAATCGTCATTGTCATACGTTCACTATGAATACTCGGTAATGGTTCTTCGTCCCAATCCTTGCACCAAAGTGAGCCATCATTGGCCGCACGTGTAATTTTACCCTTTAATATTATTTCAACCTGATCTTTATCCACCGCAGTTTTACACTTTTCATAGCATCGATTAACGTAATTCTTCAAACTATCTGGCCAATCTCCAACTGGATTTGTACTTGAAGTAACTGGATTGTTACCTACCGTTGATTTACTGGGACTATGTTGATTTGTCTGTAAGGGGCTTGACGAAGGAGCAGGCGGTGTTAAGATTTCAGGAGTTTTGGCTGCCAACGGGGCTGTTACTGATGCAGGAGGTTCATTCTGTGTTGGAGGTAATGGGGGTAACTCGGCTTTAATATCACTTCCCACAGTAAAATTAGTTACTATGTTATTTGCCTGAAAGGAATTGTTGAATTGAGACGCTGCTGAATTTTTGTTCTTCCGACGTTTTTTCTTGGCTGCACCGCTATTCCCTGATGGTACATATCCTAGTCCAGTTTTTTTATTTGGTAAATTGAATCTCACTTGACCGTTGAATTCTACGAAAATAATTTAATTAGAATCAACTATTTAGATATTAAATATTCAGAGTAAAAAAAATTAAACTTACGAGCCACATCATTTTGCATTGGATTCCATCCATTATATGTAAATGAATTGTACATATATAACTGTGATGGATTCTGTAATGAAGTTTGAGATTGATTATTGTGTTGAGGTGGTGCTTGAGTAGGAGGTGGTGGTCCTGGAGGCAAAGGAGGAAGGTCAGATTCATCATCCAAAACCATAGGTTGTCCTGGTATTGATTGCTGTTGCTGCTGCTTATTTTGGTTACTTGGATTATTATTTTGTGGTTGTTGCTGTTGTTGTTGCATTTGTTGAGCACTAAAATGTTGTCCATATCCAGTCATCATTCCTTGAGGATAATAGTACATTTGTCCTTGATCATATCCCTGACTATATAATTGGCTATAATAAATGAATAATTTATTAATTATATACAAAAAGTTTTTACTTAATATAAAAAAAAGTTATTCCAGTTTAATCCTTACTTAGAAAACGATTGATAAAGTTGAATGTTCGGCGGTGGAGGATACTGCCACATCATATTTGCCATAGAAGTTGGATTAATTTGTTGCTGTGGAAAATGTTGTGGCTGCTGCTGCGATTGTTTCTGTTGAGATGCGACAGCTTCACTTTCCGACATGCCTGACTGACGAGTTTCAATTGAAATAAACTTTAACCTACCAGTTAAACTATATAATTCTGTGATAATAATTATTATTAAAAATACTAAATCAAAAATAAACAAAAATATAATATAATCTACACTTTTATACTCCAAAATAAGAATATTAATAGAATTAAAAGTGATTTCCTGTGATAAGTAACTGGGCGGCCATTTACTGATCACTTTAGTAAAATTTTCTATATTAGAGGAATATGCAGTGTTACCAACCTCCAACCATTCTAAAACAAAATTTCCTAAGATGCACATAGTATATACATATATATATAATGCATACATTGTGAAGGAAAAATAATAACATTTTTGAATTGCGAGTAATAAAAAATAAACTTTTTAACTATAAATGAATGATTACGTGCATGAATTAATTTTATTTCGTGTATATAATTGTATAAAAATCTCTATAATACGATACTAACCTTCTTTTTTGAATCCTTTTATTTTTTTCTGAACAATAGACGAGAAATCAATCGAAATGTAGAAAGCTAATGTGTATATTTCATCAAAAAAAATCAACATTAATTGTGCTAAAGTAGGTAACACGAAGAGAAGTTTACTGCTTTATTTTTATTAATCAAACTTGATTCTATATTGTAAATTTTATTTTAAATTTGATTGGCTTTCCAAATTTACAGCTTAATTCGAAATTTGTTAACTGTTGTCTTTTCATTCTTGAATAAGATGAAAGAAAAAAAAAAAGTAAACAAGAAGTAATTGTAAAAAATTGTATAAACGTACGCATGGACGTACATTCGCAGTATGCACACTGAGAAAAAAATTTCGTTAAATGAAAAAATTTTTTATTCAATCAATAAAAGAAACTTGGAGTATTCTCAAAATAATATTTTATTCAGACTAATAGTAGTGTTATCAAAAACACATTTTGTCATTTGTTTCAATGGTGTGACAAGTTTGAGAACAAATTTTCAAGGTTACAACAAGAATGAAAACAAATGAAATTTTATTCATTTGAGTAAATAAAATGATTTTAATCAAATATTTATAATTTCGAAGAAATATTTTATTACGACTATTTAAAATTTCGAATAATTTCGATAAAAAAAAATTTACTCAGCAATTGTCGAAAGATCATAATAATATATACGATAAAAGACATTTGAAAAAGTTTGATCAAGTCGCATTAAGTCGTTTTTTATAATAAAAAAACTGCGAATTAATTAAACATAAGTGTCTCATTTAATGGAACTTCTCTATGTCAAAAATAAAAAGAGAAAAAGTGCACACAACGCACAAAAAATTACTAGTAATAGTGAGAAATATTAATTTTTATAATAAACTCATTATAAATTACTTATTTTTTGAGAATTTTTTGTGTTCTAAATCTTACAACCACGCTGATATGATATAAATAAAGTTCAATTTCTAATTATTAGCAAGATCGCACTCTCTGTTGACTTATCCATCGATGAACAAATATCTCTGAGAGTAACAAAATGATACTAAATAACATAAAAGCTATGAGAATAAGTATAATCGACAATATTTCGAGTTCAGATATCGGTGTCCACGATTCCTCAATCTGTAATGTACATTGCAGATTAATGTAAATCAATTGTAAAAGCATAATTAATCATTAGTTCTACATTGTGAACTCTCCTGATAATAATCAGTCAGAAAGTATTTGTTGGTCTATTCTAATTTAATATGTTTGCATACCTTTTTAGACCGTGATAAATATTCTTGATAATTTTTTTTCCGCATTCCGTTTTCATACATTTTTAATAAACTACAAAGTAAATATTGCTAATTAATTAGACTGAAAGTTATCTTTTGGTTTACTTACAGCTTATTAAAGATTTTTCTATACGGGCTGTTATGTTGAAACGCAATTGCTAGTGGTGTTACTGATAAATTTTCGACAAAAAGTGGTGTACAGCTTGAAGAGGAGAAGGAAGTCGCCAAATTATCATATGAAACAAATATATATTTTTCGTTCTCACACATACGTTTGTAACCCTCAATATGAGATGTTGGTATTGGATGTTGTGTTTTTATATGTTTGTGAAAAATTCTTTGTATAATTTCATTTTCACTGTGCTAAAAATTTTATACATTATCGTTTCTCGAATTCATAATAATTGGATTAAAATTCATGAGTCTATAACACACTGAGAGAAATATGTAGTTGGATTTACCATTAATAGTTCGAAAAGAACTCAACTATTATCTGTTTAATGAGAAATTAACAGCGGATAGTAAATCCAACTATGGGACTTAACTATTATTTTTTAGAGTGCATTCCAGTTATTATTGATGACAAAAATTAGGAAAAATAAAAATATAACTTGCACCTTAAAAATATTCCATGTTTGTCCTTTTATACAACCTATTTTGTAGCGACGATCTTCAATCAGGTCTTTGAGGTTTGTAACTGGGTGTTTAAATTGAGGCGTTGTTATGATGCTTAAAAATATAGCTGAATAAAATATTAGAATGAGCAGAGCGGTAACATTAATTGTCAACTGAAGAATTCTTAAAGGATTAAAACTGGATGACGGCCAACCTATCAATAATTATTTCAAAGTTTTATTTAACATAATTATTTTTGAGTCACTTTTTATTTCTACGCCTGTGGAAAAACTTACTTTGATTGCACATAGCTCCATAAACCCTTAAAAACGAATGTGCAAATTGTATTGGTATTTTTATTGGTTTTCTTCTCAATCTTCTAATTACATCGATTTTCTTATAATATTCAAGAATAGTTAAAACAATGCTTTCAATCATTATGGTCAATATTATGATATACCATACAGTAATTTTGAAAGGTCTGAAATAGCTTGACCAACTGAATACATTATTAGGTTTCTTTATGAACATGGCAAGACTGAAATATAATAATTAAATTAGTCAATACTGACTCAGACTCTCTCTCTCTCTCCCTAGTAATGACTACCATTTCAAATGAAGAAAGAAGGAAAGATTATGGGTAACTTCTTATTTCCACTCAATGAGAATTTTACTCTGTTGAATTTTGAACAAGAAAAACATATAACTGACCGAACCATAATCCTACCTTCTCCTTGAAAGTCTTTTAAAAGATTAGAATTCAACTATAAAGGTTACGACAACAAATGGTTACTTAACATACTTTGATTTGAATAAAGGAAAAGACAAATCAAAATAGGTCTTCGCTTCAACAGTCATGGCAAACGGAGCAAAAAGAATGTCGATGGAATCATTCATTAATAAACCTAAGCCATCGCTCCATGTTCCGTTTTCTTTGAATCCAGTTGCACTTACAAACGTGTAGGTAAATCTGTAAAATACTTAACACTCTAAAAACTCTAAATTTCTCAATTATCATTTAAGTCTACCTGATATTCAATGAACCTTCTAAAGTTTCTGCCATTTCCCCTGTATATCCAGTTAATTGTAATTCATTATTAATTCTTTTGACATACGAAAGAGGTGGATTCTAAAAAAATAAGAGTAGAAAATATTTTATCATCACGTCCAGATATCTTCGTACTCACATGACGTATTCCTGCGCGTATTGTATGACTTGATAGAATATCCTCAGGACTAGCGAATGATTTAATTCCAGTTTCTTCACTCCATGTTGCAAAGAGTAATTTCGCGATTTGTTTCTTTTTGTTATCTAACTTAACTTTCCATATTATTACTTGACTGGGGTCCATCTTATTTATTTGAGAAACTATGAACTTATACTGATATGGAAAATATATGTTACTGAAAAAGTCTTCCACTTTTGCGTTCATGCTCATAAAGAAGCAGAATATTGGTTTGGTCGTATCTACTGCTGATGTAATTAACTAATGTTATGAATATCAATATATTAGTAAATTTGGTGCAGCAATAAAGTTTAATAATATTTATTATATTTATACTTGATATTTTGTTCTGTCTGGATTATTGAAGTAAACTACTAGAGGTTTTTTTGCCTTTTCAAATTCGTCCAAGTTCTTCAATCTTATGCTATAATTTGCGAAATTGACCTGTCGATTCCATTGTCTATCATTTATGATAAAAGTATCACCAAATGAAAAAATGTAGTCACAGTTATAATAGTCATTAATATGCGTTATGATCTCTACGTATGATTTTACAAAAGTATCTAATTCACCCGGAACTTGTAGAAAACAAAAAAATAAAACTACTAACGATATCTTGTTCATGACTTTGATGATTTGCATGTGTCATTCAATGAGTAATGCTTTCTCAAAACTAATTTTTCAAACCTTCAAAGCATTGGTTTTTGCATTGAACTATTTTCCTACTAACTCTTTATTATCGATTCCATATTTCTGAATAATCTTAAAACATGACATTTCACTTATTGATATAGAATATTTTTTCAAATCGATTTGTGGTTGCAGTCCAACTCCACTGAGTAATGACAAGTGCTTAATAGCTTTTTAAAAGCAGATTATTTTTAAAAAACAGAATTTTTTTTTTTTTTTTTTTTTTTTTAAGTTTATGTAATACGAAATTACTCTTCTGTGAATCTTTCGATAAAAAAATATGATACAACATGTTCTCAAAACAAAAATTTATAAATCAAAAGTTTTCGAATCAAGTAATTAATAATTAGTTTTTTTATCTGGTATGATATAAGTGGAGTTAAATTTCTGATTATTGATAAGAGTTTCTTCTCCGCCAATTTATTTTCCGATAGACGAATATTTCTAAGTGTAATAAAATGGTACTCAATAATTTAAAGATTAGAAAAATAAGTATAATTGAGCAATTTGAAAATGGCCACATTGTAATTATTATTTCGATTATTGTATATTCCATAATGGTTAAAGTAAATGGATAAGAAACTTAGGATGATTATGGTGATGGTATTTTTATGACCATCTTGAGGATATATTCTTTTACACAGTTGCTGTGTACATGTTTGCGAAGTAAAGATTGCCAATTATTTGAGCTGAGTAGAAGCAGAAAATAGAAGAATCAAGTTTTTTGCTAGAAGATCAAATCTTGTAGATCAGCAATTGTTCTATTAACTTTCGCTAATATCGCTGATACTAGAATGAACAATTCGGATTTTCAAAAAATGTTTAAAGCCCGGACTGTTTCTATCATAGTTTGTTCGTAACAACTGCTAGTAAAATATAAAACGAATATTACAGTAAACATTGAATAAAAAATAAGTCATAATATTATAATAAATACATAATCTTTTTGATAAGTAAAAAACGAAAAATAAATAATTGTGAGTTATAAAAATTCTTTTTATTATTAAAAAAAATAATATTTTTCTTGAGATCATTAATACATTCATTCATCATTATTTATAAAATTCTCACATTAAAATTTTATAGAAAATTTATTTCATTATAAATAAACAAATTTGTCTGATTCTCGTCCGAAATCAGTTTAGATTAATAATTGAATGATAGATAACTCTTCTATTTGTACTTTTAACTAAGCTTAAGCTTAAGGTCATAGCTTCTCTAAATTAATTAATGACATCATCTAAGCAACAATACTTTACATGAAATTTTATAAACATATATTGAGAATTCGTAAAGGAGCCAGCCGTTAACATTTTATTTAAGTATTTCTAACTAATACTTGATTGTTTTTCTTTTCTATTAGTTAGTTAGCAGGATAGTTAGATTCCATCCACCTTTTTTGATTCGGTAGAAGAAATAGAAACTACGGTCATTAGAGTAATTAGCAATTTTGTATCCTCATTTTCCATTCATATAAAACCTTTTTGGATAACATATATAAATTTCTGACTATCTTCTTCGTCTTCGAGTATATTCTTTCAAAAAATTACGTCTTCTGTTCTTTCTTTAAGGCCTTTTTCTTGGAATTGCTAGGCTTGATTTTTTTATCTGTTCTAGGTGAGCTTTTATTAGTCATCGAATCATTCGTTTTACATTGTGAGATATCACTTGTCTTCTCATGTGAAGTGAAGGCTTCAGAAACAGAAGTTTCCTGAGTTTTAGATGGTCTAAAATAAAAATTAACAAAACATTATTTCGATTCATTTAGATTTCTAAGGGGGATTTAAATAAAGATGGTATTAATACCCTCTTAATTTAAAAATTATTTTTTTAATATTAAATCTAAACATAAATGATTCTGGTGAACACAGTACTGATTACTAGATAACTTAAGCAATTGTAAAAGTTCTGTCTTGAAACCAATACTATTAGTACTGAATCATATTTTCTTTTTGTTTATTAAGTAGAGTCTCCATAATTTGGTTTGCTATAAAACTATAAAAGAGTTGGAGAATCAAACATTTGGTCAGTCGTTTCCGCCAATGAACTCAGAGCCTCAAGCCGTCCATATTATGGAGACTCTAGTGAAATTGTTAAAAAAATTGAACTTACCTAAATTTTCGTTTTGCATGATGAGACATTAATCGTCTTCTCATGTGCATTGGAATCTTTTTAGAAGTTTGTTTTTTGGCTTCTAGGCTTTCTAAAATAATAATAAAAATTAATTACTTATTTGTTTACATCACGATTCTTGTTACTCATGAACCATTTAGACAAAGTTTCATGCTAAAACTTCTACGAAAAAAGAATGTTATAAATTGTTTCATCACGATATCAGTGATTGTAAATCGGAGCAGGATATATGTAAAGGGTTAATAGATTTGTTTATTCCCCAATGAGAAGTTATTGCAAATGGATTTAATTTTGTGAATTCGAAATTTTGACATATCTTCGCGTTTCAAGACTTCTAATGTCGAATCAGTAGTTTTTATGTGTGATGATCTCTAGAAAAAAAAAATTTCATCAACATGGGGCCAATTTCATTAAACGCATAATCATGCAACTTAAAACTGATTAGGTTTTTAGCAAAATCGGTTCAGCCATTTTTTGTGCAGAATTAAAAACTTACAAAAACTAGCTGGATTTTGCAGTATTAATACAGAACATCACAATAGAAAATTCAATCGAAGTTACCTAAATATCGTGTCATAGCCATCATTTCAGGCGCCCTGGCAGCAAGAAATTTCAGAAGGTTAATATTTCGAGGCAAAAATACGTGTCCCCCAAGTTTTTCATCAAACTGACGTTTCTCCATTGTTTTATCTTAAATATAAATTTGTTTCAGATTCAATTTAATGTTTTCACTTCTTTGCTCCAATCCTACCAGCAAAAAGTATTTTACTTCACTCTCATTATAAGCACGTGGGTTATAAGAAACATACACAACAAAGTATAGTCAAATTGTTTAGTTGGTCCGACCTTTCCACCACCGTTTTCTATCAAATTTTTTTTATTACACAAGCCTACTTACTTTACCACACAGTTTGTGGTGTTATAAGAATAGAGATAAACAAAATATAAAATTGGCAGTATTTATTTTGACCGCGAATTTTAAAAGGCAAATTTAGCGCCATCTGTGTGAAATGATTTATGTGTGATAATTTTGGAGTAATAACTTCAATTTTTAGTGCCGAAAATGATCAGATTTGACATTTATTTAAAAAAAATTTTGAAAATATTACTTTGAAAATTCTTTAGATATAATTATTGATTAATAGTTGAATAATCAATAAATCGAGAAATAATATGTTTCGAGTATGGATTGTGGTAGGTGTCGACGCCATCTTTTAAGGCAGACGGACGTCAAATCGTGCCGTCGTCGTACGGTAGTGTTTGACGAGTGCAATATATTGTAAAAAAAGCTGTTTAATCCAAAGATTAATGAATAATAACAGAAGTAAATACTTATGAGTCAATGTTTAAGTAAGAATAAGTGCGTGATTGCCAAGACAGACGGTTAAAGACTTTAATTAAGGATAAAAAAGTGAACTTTCGTAAGGATTAAGCGTATGAGTGGAGGACGAAAGATACATTATCACGTATTCATCGTTATACAATTCATCAAATACGACTATATAAGTGGTAATTTTATTTTGAGGCCATCTGATTGAGCTGATTGTACAAAGTAGCAAGGATTCCTACGGGAAAAATTAATAGATATAATAATTGAAGACGATAGGAGTTATCAGGGTGGTGGACGGCCTCTCTTCGGCGCGCGAGTTGACTCTCGGCGGTCGGCTTCGATTTTCTCCGGGCGCGACGATGAGTTGCCAAAGAAACGCTGGCAAGATCACGGTGCCCGACGATCTAAGGAATATTCTTCTTGAGTTTACTATCAGTTATCTCCTAGAACAACCAGCGGATATTATCGATTATGCTGTTGATTTTTTCACAAAATTACGGGATAATCAACAAAGTATGTTGATCCAGTCGAACGCTACGTGTTCATCAACACCAGACGAGACCGTAGAAGAAGGTAAACTTTTTTTCCTTTTTATCTTAATTCCAAAGGTTATCTCACACCCTTTTGTTATTTCAACTGCCCTTTAACTTTATCATACTCATACTTCTAAACTTTTTTCTAACAATTTATTTTATCTACTCTGAAGTTTCTTTTATTTTTATTTTATTTTTGTTTGATTTCATTTTGTTATACAAACCCTTCCAGTGATTAATTAAAATTTTATAAACAACTAATAAATGTAAGATGAATTTTTTATAGAAGTGATGTGTTTGTTCGAGTTACAGAAGAAACCGGATTCTATTTCATTTGGGATTTATTAATTCAATATTTCATAATTTATCATAGTTTGGCAGTTAATATTAATAAATGAATGTATTAGCATATGGACTGGATTTCTGTAACTCAATGAATAACTTATTGATATTACGATAGATTTAAAAAAAAAAAAATAATGATAATTAGTTCAGTTCATTAAAAAATATAATTTTAATTTTTTTGAATATATCACAACAAAACCTTTATGTTTATACATGATGAAACATTTTATTTAAAATAGTTATAATTATCATAAATTAATGAAAATTTATCTATTTGTTGTTGTTTATTATAAATTAAAATAAGTATTTAAATATTTTGATATTCTATTTAGAGTTTATGTTATATAGTTTATTTTATTTTATTTTCTCGAAATGTAGTGTTAATCGACCTTCACATGGTTTTATGTATGTCAAAAATCACCCTAAATTATTGTTAAAGTACATAAATACATGACTTGTCAACGTTTGCCAAGCTGAGAATTGAATTGAATTCTATTGTACTGTTTAAATCACTCTTTATAGTCAACAAATTAAATAAACTGCCAGTTATTGATACTAGTTTTTGAGAAAAAAAAATATTCTGATAAAGTGTATTTATTTTATGTTGAATGAGCAGAAAAGGGAATTTGATCGAATATGGTTGCACATTTGCCCAAGTGGTCGACAATTAACCACCTATTAATACGTGCATTAATAGTCATAATTATTCACTTTAACAAAACAGGTGTAGACTATTCAAGAGACACTCGCTCTAATTGGCTCCACTTTGATGACATTCAACAATTGGGCATTCCTCAAGCTCTTGAGTCTACATTTTGATATAAATAGAAATAAGACAAGTTGTTTTCTGACTTGCAGTCAATTTAAATCATGATAAACCCTAACTTGCACAAGTAAACTCAATTCAAGATTTTAATGAGGGTTAAGACATAATTATTTATAAAATCCAATTACGTCCCTTAAAATTTATTTATGATTACCAGGGTCATGAATAAAACTTGGACATAATTTTATTATTAAAAATTATATGTTTTCCAATGATTTGATATTTCTGACAGATATCAGTGTCCAATTCCTCATATCTATAGCAGACATGTTGACATAAATAAATGTGATTTCCAATCTCTATTTCAGAGCCGCCCGTGGGCAGATTTGCTAGTAGAAGGAAAAGCGTTTTTACTGAAACCTACAATCCAGAAGAGGATGAAGAGGACGAGGGCGTTAAGGTAAATTTTACGTTGATAAACTGTTATTTGTGAAATAAATAAAATGATTTTTCACATATATTTCCTATAAATTAGCATTCATTTAGCTAATAGAATACCAAAGTTTATACCTTTCATTGTTATTATTAAAAACTATTCTAATGAAGCTTGAATTTAATTAACACTTAAATGTAAATAATAGATTCAGATAAATCCATGAATTGCTCTTTATTTACATACAAAAAATGTTGTTTAGGTTGATTAAATTGGGCTGTATGCAGTCATTGTTTGCGTAAGAGCTATTTTAATTAATAGTATAATTATTATTTCGAAAAAAATTGAAAAAAAGTTCAGTGATTTTTAATTAAATTTTTTCTCCATTTATTTTAAAAAAAACTTCTATTTACCCTTTAGAATCATAAATACCTCAATTTTTATGAAATGAAAAATATGTGAAAATATTATTGGAGAATATTTTGTAAAAGAGATTCAAAAAGTTTTATTTTAAAAAATATTAATTAAAATTATTCCTCGTTTATTGTTAATAATAGACTATTTTACTATTCACTTTATTCCTTATTACATTTTACTTCTATTAACTTCAGAAAAACTTTGAATTCTAATGAAAAAAGTTCCTCACATTTTTCCTGAACACATTATTAAGAAAATTTTTCACAAGTTTAAATAGATTGAGTATTTAATTCTGCCAAAAAAGCTTTCTCACTTTAACGTTAATGTAGAAAGTACTAACTTTATCAGCAAATCCGCTTTAACTTAATACTGTCTTTTATTAAATCTAAGAAAATAATCTCTGTAAGGTTGCTCTGTTCAACAAAAAAGAATCCAAGTTATTTAGTATTTATTTCAAAGATAAAATAACAACTATTTTTTTTCATCAGTTGACGTCATTAATAAGATTGAACAATAATTTATCAATCTAGGAAAAATTCTTAGTTATTTATTGCTGACCAGTCAGCCTCCCATCAAATATATATCTTCAATTAATTCTTTTCCACATCGATAACACGTGAATTCTTATAAACTTCATCAGAAAAAAAGAAAATAGTCTAGCTGCACAGATAGAAAGTTTTAAAAAATTGATTGTTTGATAAGAGGAGAAATAAATAAATGAAGAGTAATCTTCAAAGAAAATCTTCTAGTGTTATAATATTGCAGTTGTTCTAATCAAGTAACAAATTAGAGAGCTAATTAGAAATTAATAATGAAGTTGATGATAATAATAAATTTATTTTTAAACTATTAAAGTAAACTTTAGACAAATTTTTTATGTTCACTTTATTTGTCATCCCAGCCGAGCGTTCTAGAGGAGTTTCTCGGCGTTTGCACCTGACTCTTTGAAAATTACAAAAGGTTTGCCTTGCTTAATCGTGCGTGTGATAAAAAGCCTTTATGACGTCAGAGCATATACTCGATAATCCCAACACACATGGAATGTGTATGAGACAATTCAAGCGATGTCGACAGGTCGACCAATATGTGTATATATATACATTAGATCTCCATCCTGCTTGTCTCTATTCATTCACCTAAAATATCTTTTTTATTTTTAATACATCACTTTTTAATTATCTAAGCTGTTTATTCAATAACTCAGCTAATACATTTTATGATATGGCATTTCCCATTACTTTAGGTCGTTGTGATACATGATAAACTAATAATTATAGCTCTTAATTGACTATAATTTTATTAATACTCAATTTAGGTTTAGTTGTTGTGGAAACTTTTATACCATGAAGTACTTAATTGAATTTTCTGTTAGTTTTTATTATTGATTACTGTTAAATAATTAATAAAAGTTTGTTTGGAAAGACAAAATTATTTTCCAAGTAATTAAAGATTGAATTAATTAATTGGATTCATTGAGGTTCGTTAAAAAATGGTTGTGTAATTTTTTATTACTGAATTAATGGTTGAGTTTATTTTTCAAGAGTTCACCGAAAAAAGAATAATAATTTTTTAAAATCAACGACTTCATGAGGCTCCAAAATCTAGTAAAATTATTTAATTACTAGATTATGACATCAAATATGTTAACGTTAAATATTTACACTTTTTTATCTATTCTTTTTTCATTTTCATTTTTTGTTAGAGAAAAATTGCGTTCATGTCTAGGCTAATGAGAATGCAGTAACAGATAGTACAAGTTCTTTTTTTCAAGTTTGTTTTTCGTTAAATGTAGTTAGTTGGTGTATAGCTGCAGGGTCGATGTAAGGAAGCAGGTGACATGCGCGAAGTAGCAATTATCCAGCTGCCCTATAGCTTCTCAAAGTCAAGTGTCCTACCTCTACTCTACCTCTACTCTGCACTTAATACTCACTACAAATTTCAGAATTGAATTAAGTCTTGTTGTATGGAGCAATAATTAGTTTAAAAAGTATGGATGCCTTTTTTTGTTTTAGATAGTACATCCGAAAAGTGATGAACAACGGCAGAGGCTGAGTGACAGCGTCAAAAATATCATTCTATTCCGCACTCTCGATAAGGTAAACTAGAATTTGTGTACCTATGTAAAAGTAGGTAACAGCGTTCAATAATTTTGATATTTTGTCAGTATTCAAACAATAGTAAAATACATAAGCGAATATGTATTCAAATGTTTCAGGAACAAATGGCAGATGTTTTGGATGCTATGTTTGAAAAGATTGTCGAACCAGGAGATTATATTATCCGCCAAGGTGACGATGGCGATAATTTTTATGTGATTGAAAGGTATAGTTTCACGAGACCTTGAACTAAAAGTCAGCCTAATAGCATTAAATCACTTACACCAAACATTTAGGAGAATATATTGAAATTCTATTTTAGTATAAATTTCATTCGTACTCTAAACAATGTTGTTTTTTCGAATTAACATCTATTAAAAAATAATGTTTTCCACGAAACAAATTGTAATTAAAAATTTTTATTTGTCTATTATTACTAAAGAGGAAAGTTCGAAGTCTACGTACAAAACCAAGCAAAAGTTGATACTCTTATTCATACGTACGACAATGGAGGAGCCTTTGGAGAATTGGCACTCCTTTACAACATGCCACGTGCTGCGACTGTTAAAGCTGTAACGAAGGGCACATTGTGGGCTATGGATAGACAAACATTCCGACGTATTCTTCTCAAGTCCGCGTATAAGAAATGTAAAATGTATGAGAATCTCATCAATAACGTTCCTATGTTAAAATCTCTAGAGGTAAGAACTATTGTCAAGTAAAATTGATGTCATGGTCATTAGTTTTAAACTTTTCATTTACGTAATCTGTTTATCGTAAATTTTGGTTTATAGCCTTACGAGCGTATGAGTCTTGCTGACGCACTTGTTCCTCGCCGTTTCTCTGACGGACAACAGATAATACGTCAAGGTGATACAGCTGATGGGATGTATTTTGTAGAAGAAGGTGTCGTGAGAATCACTATCATCGGAGATAATGGACGAGAAGTTGAAGTAAGCAAAAAATTTGCTTTAATTTGAATATTTTTAATAAAATAAAATGAGTTAAAAAAAATTTAATTTTTATTGTAAAATAAAATTTGGAAAACTCATTAATTAAAAAATTCTGTTAATTTATTAATTTTGAAAGTTTGCTAGTATCATTTTTTATTGGATATCAAAGATTAAATATTTAGAATGATTGTTAGTTGTGTTATCAGGGCTTTTCATGAATAAAATGACAATAATTTAAAAGTTATAAATGATGTTTTTGATTTTAGATCAATCGTGTATCCGCGGGTGGTTATCTAGGTGAACTGGCTCTAGTCACACATAAGCCTCGAGCTGCTTCAGCATACGCAGTAGGAAATGTCAAGCTAGCCTGTGAGTATACTTTACCCTAGCCAGAATATCAGCTTATCGATTTAACTTTTCGTTCCAACTGAATGCTATTCTCTCATCTTTTGTACTATTTTTAAATTAGTTTTGGACGTAGAAGCTTTTGAGCGGCTTCTAGGACCATGTATGGAGTTGATGAAACGAAATTTCGATGATTACGAGGATCAGTTAATCAAGATTTTTGGCAGTAAAACTGAAATCTCGGACATTCGATGAATATCCTGTCGACTATTGAACGTAGCGTCCTTGTATGGTAATTTCTACGATATGCTGACGCTCCATTCAAGTACTATTTCTTCAACACCTGCTTGGAAAACTGCAATCATTGTATTTTAAGCATTTTTTTGTCCTTCAAAAATATCACTCGCAGCCTCCATTTTCAAAAATACCAAAAACACATATATATTTATTATGTGGAGATTAAATCAGTAAATAACTAAATTTATACCTTTAAACTAAAATTCAAGTACAATAGCTTTCATACTATAATATGAAGGCATACCGAGGAAAGTTGATTTCAAAAAGAAGGTATCTTGTGAGACTGTAACGGATTGGAAAGTATTACAATTTTATTATGTATATGAATTAATTAATCTTGCGTGCAATAACTAAAAAAATTAATAGAGCACGAAGATTGTGAGAATACTTGAGAATGTGCCGATTGTTTTTCCACATACTTTCTCAAACTTAACATATTACTATGACCAAAAAATTTATTTAGCAAATTCAAGTCTTTCGTCTGTCTCTTTCTATTATATCAATGATCTGATAATAAGAGGCATTCATTAGTAGATTAATTACTTCGATGTTTCTCATTCGCTCACTGTTCCCGTTAATTCAGTGAGAATAATAAGACAAACTCCCCACTCATATAGATTAAATAAAACATGAAGAGAAGAAGAGAACAAAGGGAGCCAGTAGAAATTAATAAAACTTTGCACCAACCGGACGTTATTGATTTATAAAGATTGAAAGAAATATGAATGCTTAATAAAAAAAATAAAATAAAAAAAAAAACATTGAAACGTGGAATTTAAATTACTGTCATAGATGTTTGTAGAAAATAATGACATATATGGAATTATTGAAATATAACAAAAAGTCACTCACGAAATAGTCCAAAAAAATCACATATAAACGTATCATTGATTTTCAATGTACAATTTATTAAAAATATCCAGGTGCAATAGTCAATGTATCGTTTTTTCAAACATTCACTTGTACACAGCAGGATATTTATACACACTGTACGTATTAGAAGAGCGAATCTCGTCAATTTATATATTACTATTATTATTTTTTATAAATATTAATCATATTGGTTTGGGAAATGAAATTTTGCTTAATGAAGAATTATCTGGCTAAAAAGTTTTTCATTTTTAAAGTATATTGTATTATTGTTAATATAATATCCATTGAAACATTCATTTTCGCTTTAAAGAGTATAATTCTGTGAATAAATATAAAAAATTTATTTACCAAACCAATATAATTAATTTTCCCATGGCAATTATTATCTATATACCTCGCGTGTCGCTTCAATAGACTAAAATGGTTTGTAAAATTTAATTTCCGCTTAATTCAAATGCACATAAATTTAATTAACGAAGTACATTGATGTTGGATTTGTGATTAAATTTAAATTCGCTCTTACATTTGATAAATGCCAGATTTCAATCTTATTTAATATCATTGATCTTGGCAAACTACAGTTTATTATTTAAAACAAAAAAAAAAGAAATACGTAGTGTGTATGCGTTAAAAATGGTGTCATAGAATATTGTATTATTTTTATACCGATTGTATCCAATCGATTCACCAAAAAGGGTAAACCACATTAATTAATACCTCAAACAAAATTTAGATGATTAAACATCTGGAGTGTATGTTTATATGTTAAGTGAGCCTGGAATTGTTCAAGTAACTGCCCTTTTTTATCATTTTTAATTTTTATTTAAAAATATTCAATTGATGTTCTTCCGAATTCAAAATAAAAAACTGCTAAGGTGCGATAATGGTATTTTCTGAGCTGTAAATCAGTTAACATCATCGACAATTATAAAATAGCGTGCTATTAACGATAAAACGTCGGAGGATTAATGAAAAAAAAAATCCAATAGTATTACAAGTACTTTACCTTGACATCAGGGCATTGTTCTAGTAGTAATATACAGAGCAATCGCAACATGCACGCGCTGAATCTTTGATTTATATTATCATAAACTTTTATGATACCCGTTTATATTTGTGTGATACTACAAATTTTAATATTACGTTAATGTATTAATACTAATTGTTGTTAGTATTTATTATTATTAAAATTTATTACAATTATTAATAATATCATTAATAACTCTTAATCATTATGAATGTAAAAAGGGTTTCTAGAGGCCATTACAAATTTTATTATGAGGCAGAAAAGTTATTGAGTTTCTTCTGCTATAATCTTGTTTACTTTTAAAAGAGTGAAAGAATCTAAAAAAAATTCTACATGAAATCGATAGTAAATATAATGAATGTTTGAATTATTTAAAAAAAAAGAGATGAAATAAAAGAAAAATTACGCAATGTTATAGATTATGTATGTGTCATTGTAATGACATTTTATTTCATATGAATAGAGAATAAGAGCTTCCGTCGAGACGATTGGAATTAAAGTCACGTAAAGTATCTTAGTCAATCTATTCTATTCGAAACAATAGGACTTGGAGTATTATGTATAGAATCATTAAATTGACTATTTCTTACGAATTGAATGACGCGGATGTCAGAGATATAAAAATTTGAGTGAAAAATGGAAAAAAAGGAATAAATTAATAATGAGTGTTAAAATAAGAAAGCAATATTCATAATATTATTAAAGTCTCGATATTCTTTCAAGACTGTAGTCATTATATTTATTCTATTGATTGATTGATTGATGGCTTGATAAAAGAAATGTTGCGATGACTTTATTAACATTTTACTCTGGTGGTTACTCTATTGATAGCATAATTAAATGTGTGAATCTCCGTCTATAAAAAAATGCTGAGAAGAATAATATTCTGAATGAGTGTAAAAAATTTTTAACTGAGTTCATCTTACCAATTATTTCTTCAATTACATAATTATTTATTAGTCAAGTGTGTTATAAGTTGTTGCTTGTATGTAAATTTTGGTCTTATCTTTAGATAGTGTTATAAAAATATATGTTAAAAATATTTTACCAATGGAAGAAATTTTTTTCTCAGCGAAATGGTAGAGAAAAATATTGATACATATGGTTATTAAATGAAAAAATGATAAATTATAGTACTTAGCCTTTGGTTGACTTAGGGTACAAGTACATTGATGTCTTCGTCCATTATAAGCACGCGTATGTTTTGTTGAAGTAAATGTAAATTATTAAACTATATTGTGAATGTTTTGTTGCTTTGTAAGATTGTGTATTTAATTATTCATTCACGCACATCAGTCGCGCTTAAAAAGGCATAATAATAATAAACATTGAAATGTACACCTAAATGAAGTAGAAGATCAAAGAAAATAATGTATAAAAAAGAAAAAAAAAGTAACTACCTAAGTCTGCTTTAGTGCGATAATTAAACTGTTTTAAATAACAGACGGCGAGGTATACTGATTTTTAGTTTTAAAAATGAATAAAATAAAATAAATAAATATTGTAATCAATTGAATGCTGATTAGCAAATCGTGATATAATGCAGAGCTCGAGTACAGCTGGTCTGACCGTGCTTAAACCATATCACCCAGCATTTTACAGTGAAAAATTATATCGCGGATTGCTGTTAACGATACGAATTATTCTGAAAAAAGCAAACTCAATATTTCACTTTGAAAGCAGAATTCATGTTAGAAGTATTGTTACTTCATAGTTTAATTCTAGTCTCTAAGTTGGTCGTTATGTTACTCAGCTATTTATGAAGAAAAAAAATAAATAAATAAAGATATAATTGCCAATTATTGAAGCTAATAGCTATCGCTACTCGAATGAGTCTCGTGCAGAAATTAGTTGATTTTTAATCATTCTTATTAATAGCTATTTGGTTCATCAACCATGACAAAATAATATAAACATTTATCCAATAAAATAGAATTTTTTTTATATCAAACTAAAGACTTATTCGAGAAGTAATTAATATATATAAATATATATATTAAACAAATAGTGTAATCAAAGTTAATATAAAATAAATTAATGGACCTGGACCTATGGCAAGTTTATATGTTAATTTGGACCTTATTTATATTAATTTCAAGATAATTTACAAAAATTATAATTTAATGCTTGATAATATAAAAATGAAAGTATCTTTATTTTATTTGAACGTTTTGACTTTTTATTTAATAAAATATCTTCTCATTGATGACTTAATTTAAAATTACTTCTAAATTATTTTTTTTATATAATTTTGAGTCCATTTTTTATGGATATTATGATCTCTGATATCAATAAATTCAAACATACTGATACTAATTTCTAAAGAAAAATCGATATTTTTCATTTGAGTATGAATTCTAAAATTTTTGTGGCACAGAATGGTTAATAATATACATCAACTATTAAACTAGAAAATAAAAATTAATAACATATTTCAACAATCTACTTAAGATGATTCATTTTTACTTTTATTTTATCACTATCTCACACTTTCAATAAAATATTCGTAATCACATGCCATGAGAATAAAAATAACGTTTCTATATTATATTAGTCTATATGTAGATATAACATGATGTATTTTATGTTGGTATGTACAATGCAAATGACAAAAGTAAGAAAAGAATACCTTTCATTATTTAAAAAAAAGTATTCTCTTATATTAATTCAACTCTAATTATCCAAAAGTATTCTGAAGAACTTATTCATATATATTACAAATTTAATATTTTATAGTATCTGTATTATTTCACTAAACGATTTTTTTCATTTATTCATTTTTATAATTATCAAAAATTTTCGTTTTTTTAACTGTAGAAATAATCGCCATCGATCAAAGTAATCTATCAATTGGTATGAGTAAAAAAATCTATTTACATTTAAATACCTTGATAAGGTATGTATGTATGTGCATATTTATATTTAGGTAATTGCACCATCTTAATTGTTTTTTTACAATTTTCTTCACGTAAATCTTTTATTTACGTGTGTATAAATAATGTTTTAACTGCTCAAAAACTATTTAGACGGTTTGTGTCCAGTTATATTTTTTAGTTGTTGTTTATAAATTTCAGCTTCCTCTTCCTTCAGTTGAAGTTGTTTCCTATACTCGGCAGCTAACTTTCGCGCTTCAATTAATTGTTTATTTAATGTTGCTATATCCATTGCAGGTTTTATACTATCTTCATTTGAGCAGTTATTAATATCTTCAGTTACTTGTTCAATATCATCGTCTAAATGTAATAAAAGTGGACCGTCATTTTTTACAATGGATACTTTTACGTTTTTCTAATTGACAAAATAAAAATTTTTCCGTTAGTTAAATTAGAATGTTTTAAAAGAATGATATAGTATCTATTTAACTTATTACCTTTGTTATTGGAGTTGTACTCTTTTTAGTTTTAATATTCACCAGATTTTTTTTGCTGGTAGGTATGGAAGAGATATAATATTTTCCTGCTTTATTTTCCACGATATTTTTTTTCAAAATATTAGGACCTCTTGTTGAAGAATTCAAAATAGGCAAACTCTCTTCTGTCACCTGTTCTGATGTTGATAGTTGTGAGTTAACTTGTATCCTTTTTAAGCCAATATTTTGACCTCTTGTTAAATTTAGTGCTAATTTACCAGCTTCTAAAATGTTATAAAATAATAAATAAATGTATATGATTTATGAATAGACTTTAAAAGAAAAAGCGATAGTAGATTATTTCCTTGTTAGTACCTGTTAGCACGACTGTTCGACCACTTTCCATAGCACTTTCTACTATACTAGAATCTGTGTCTATCGGAATCATCGTAATACCGTGCGCTTGGAGTAACCGCAAAGGTTGTTCCAAATTACCAAATCCCAAAACTTTGTTGTTCCTCAATGTACTATTTTCAATGCTAGTGATTCTGGCACTTATATCTATTTTGATAAAGTTTATTAATATTATACATATTATTATCATTACTATTATTGTTGTAAATATAATCATTACTACCATCATCTTCGTCCTCATCATTATCATCTTCCATATCATGATTTCCATCATCCTCATTCTCTTCTTTATTATTAACTTCTTCATCATCATTATCACCATATTCATTATTATTACCTCCATCCTGAATACCATCAATATCATGATCATTTTCAGTATTATTTACATTATCATTATCGTCTAGATGAATTTCGTTATCAGCATCTCTTCTAATATGTGAAACTGATGATATTGGAACTTGTTGAAAGATCATCTTTGGTTTTTTTAATGTGTGATGAACTGTATTGAATAAGTTATTTTTTTATTTACCACATCTGTTATCATTTATGTTATCTTAACCTAAAGATCTTTAAATTTTTTATTACTAATTTAGAATTTTAATTCGGTGGTACCTTGAAACTGTTTACGCTTATGTAGATTCAATTGTTGCTGCAATACATATTGATATTCCTGTTGTCGTTCAGCTTCCATCTTTATAAGATTATGAGTAGCTTCTTCTAACTCTTCAGAATGAATCAAGTTTTCAGCTGATCCAATTGTTGATATTTCTCTTTCTTGTTGCAAAATGTCGACCAAATCGAGTCGATCATGTTCCAATGCAAGACTAATGGGAGTTTTATCAAATTTACTAACAGCATTTGGATCAGCACCATGTTCTAGTAATACATGCATTACTTCTATGTGATTTCGTTCTACAGCCCAATGTAGTGGTGTCATTTTGAGCTGAGAAAAAATATCTATAAATACTTTACACAAATATTTATGAAGAATGTAATAACTAAACTATAATTTTTTTTACCATATCTCTACTATCCACATCTGCACCATACTTAAGCAATAACAAAGCCATTTCATGATGGCCTTCGTATGCAGCCATATGTAGTGGTGTACGATCCACTTTTGTTCTTGCATCACGTGAAATTCCAGCTTTTAATAATACTTCGGCAGTTTCTAATCTATTTTTTTGTGCTGCAAAATGTAAGGCACTAGTTCCTAACTGAAATGGTTATGAATGATGAATATATCGAATTTTTACATAAAATATGATTTGTCCATGTATTGAAAATGAGATGTAAACTAAAAATACCCAGTCTGTGGTGAATGGAGCACCTCTGCACATGAGATCTCGAACAGCTTCTGTTTTTCCTTCTGCAGCATTGGCTAATAGTTGTTTTCCTAGTTCTACTATGGAAAAGGCATCTTGTGAATGTGATTGTCGTAATGTGTCATTTGATTTCTGGTGGGTTTGATCACAATAAAGGAATTCCACCTGTAATACACGTTATTTGTTATTTGAGAGACAAGTTTTAAGAGTTAGTTATTAAAATATTAATTATAGCATTGACTAATACTTACCGGAATCAATGTTTCAGTGTTGAATTCCTCATCCGTAACAGCACAAATCGTTTCAGATTGCATGATTTTTCATAAAGTTGTAGGATATTTTTGATATTATATATACTGAAAAATAAAATATAATCTCAACAATATTCATTATCAATAGTTTGATAATTCGATAAAATAACATTTCTTAAATGCTGAACAGCTTTGGAGAAATAAAAAATTGACGTTGGCGATATAAGTTAAAAGATTGATGGTTAAACAAGTATCAAATCATCATAAAAGTGGTTCATTACATCATTGTAATAATACAGTCAAGTAATCGTCATTATTTTTGTTAATTACAAAAGTCCTGTACAATTATTTTTCAAAAATATCATCTTTACAGGATGTTTTTATTTAACACGATATGTTCGCATTTTGAGATGTACTTCCTGTTCCTGTTCATTAAACGGAAGTTCCTTACCATAGGCTCTTAGTGTTCACTCAAATAAACAAACAAATATCATTTGAAAAATAGTAACAAAAAATTTCTATTGATTTACTTACAATTATGACATTATTAAGTCATACGTTTTGATAATAACTGTGTCTAAATATGAACACACAATTTTTATGAATTGGTGGTGTATAATTCACAGGTTATTCACGTAAATAATGTGCCAAACGGTCAAGAAAATGGTGGCTTATTCGCGCCAATCGTATGGACATATTCCGTCAATTCAAATATTATTTTTGCAATTTGGTTTTCAATTGATTCTCATTTATACTTCGTTAACAGAAATAGCATTATTATTATTTTTTTTTATTCGTTGACTGTACCTATTAGATATGTACATATGTTTGTGCAAACTATACTATTCATAAATAAGAATAATAAATAATAATGATAATGATAATGAACATAGTGATAATAGTGATAATCATGTGCTTCGGAACAATACATGTATAGGTTAGAAAGCGATTGGGATGCCGCTAAGCGGATGGAATGAAAACTAATATTTAAAAGTTGTCAGTAGCTCTCTCTAGTCAAAAAAAATTTTGACAACTAATCGTTCCAATCGATAAAAATTTCGGAGCAGACAGAAAATAAGATTTCATACCGACTTGTCAGTCGTCGTTGATCCATCCTATCTATCTTTTGGTCTCAACTGTTTTGGTTGTTTGTATACGTATTGGCATTTAAATAGCATAACATGAGTATGTATTTACATTTCATAACAGTACATATTTATTTTAATTCATTCACAATGATATTTTGGTAGAAATTTTTTACTTTTTGGGTTTATTTGGACGTTTTTTCTTTTTATCATCTAACCGGTAAGGACCCAATTTTTTCCTCACCATTGTCCCACGCCACCAGGATTGAATTTTAATTATACATTTTTGTTTATATTCTTCACGTTCTCTTTGAATGCGATTCAGTTCCTTTTCTTTAAGATATTTGTCAATAAAAGCTTGTCTGTCTGCATACTTGACATTAAAAATGAAAACAATGTGTAGTTATTTATTCAAGTGTTTGTTTACTTATGTCTATTTGTTATTTCTTAATATACTGTACAGGTGAATATTTAATTTTTCTTTCTACATATTTTATATGCATATACATACCGTAGTCTCTAATTGCTTTAGAGTTTCTTGCTTTGCTTTAAGACCTTCCTCTAAAGTTCCATTTTTTGTCTTATACATTTGCATTTCTTCATCATATCGTTGTTGCCAGTATTTTATAGCCCGGTCATTACACTTGTAAAAAAAAGTTTTGAATAAAATTTATTCAATAAATGTAAAACAACATGAATGAATAGTTGGAAAAGTTTATCACAAAAACATGTATGACCAATAAATTGGTTCAAAGATAGATTGGGTTTTTCAATTTTTTTTTTACGGATTGAAACATATTAACCGGAAAGTAAATGACAAATTCAAACCGATAGAACTCAATTAATCGATTTGAAATAAATTGAAACCAATGAAAAAAAAACATTCTATCTAAAGCTTTTTAGAATACGAGTTTGAAGAAAATTTTCTATTTTCATTTTATTGGAAACGATCAAGAATATCTTTATCAAAAACAATTCAATTTATTTAAGTATAAACTATACTAATCATTTGTAATTAATTCATGAATAAATATGAATATTAATATTATCATTTTCAACGTTGAATAGTCACTTTAGAATGAATAAAAAAAAGAAATAGTAAAACATTATCTAGAGGTAAAAAATGAACAAAAGTGCATGATGAATATTTTACCTTATATTCTTACCGAAATTTTTTCCTTGATAAAAGTCTCAATTTCCAAGGTAATCAATTGTTCATTCTTCTCACGATTTGCAAAGTCATCTAAAATTTTGTTCAAACGTTCAATAGTTAACATACATCTTAAACAAATTTGTTCCAAAAGTGATAAGTCAATGTTGGTTTTTAAAAAATTAAACATGTTTTTAAATACTGAAGATTAATAACTAATTTATGAAAAGTCAGTAAAGTTAGGAAAAAATGTTAAAAATTTAATTATGATTCAAGTAAAAAAGTAAACTTTGCTGATATGCATGTATTATATCAATTCTTTTAAAGTTTTGAAGAGTTTCACATAAGCGTTTTGCTCGCTCGATTGATCAATAGTTTGTTTCTTCGCAACATAACACTGCAAAATTCAGTAGAATTATAATTGATTTAAATAACCATTTTACAATTAATTATAGACTATTACAATTAGCTGATTGAAGAAGTTTCGGATACATAATTTATCATCTCTTAATTGCGATACTTCATAATTATGTGGTAATTACCGGACTTAATAAATTAAAACTAAATATTATCTCTATGAACTCTCATTTACGTTTATATGTATAATTATTTAATAGTGATGATATATTTTATTAATAGAATAGGGAAATTGTTTTTCGAGAAAAGAACATTCGAATTTTTTGACTTAAAAAAATTTTTATTCTTCTATAAATATTTATGATAAAAGTGAATATCATATTCCACATATTTTCATCAAATTTTTTATATTTATACTTCAACTTGTCTCGTGCTTGTTGAAATCAATGTTTTTTAGCTTATTTTATTAATTTATTTTTCAAGTGGCTCCTCATATCGATGACTTTATGATAATAAAAAAAAAACTTAATTATAAGATGGTATTAATTGAAATTTAATTAATTACAGCAGTTGATCTTTTCACTTCATATTAAACAATATTTCTGATTATTTTTATATTTCATTTATATGCTGCTATTAATACTCAGGTAAATTAAATAAATTTCGTGGTTTTTAATAGAATGATACCATTGGTGAAACAAATGTCATAACATTGCTAATAATTGTTTGTTATAAATTTGAAAATCAATTATAATCATTCTTTTGCATTATCACAAAAACATCTATAATAAATAACTTTTGTAATAAATAGTTCATTATTTGTAGCAAACTCAAATAATAAAAAAAAATATTGAATGTTCAATAGAGAAATATACTTCACTTGGCATGTTAAAAATAAATATTTAGTCAATAAACATATCAATATCCATTCACAAAACATAATGATAGATGTTTGTATGGCAGCATGCGTGTGTTGATCACATTTGATGAAAAAGCTATTAAATAAAATATATTATAAGTTTACAAATTTACAGAGTATGCGTGGTATTTGGCACGTAACTCCAGCGACGGCGCATTATATGTAGCCATCATCATCATCACTACACCACCTTTTGTGATAGTAGTATAGAGAAAGGGTAGCGGTGAAGGTTCACCTACCCTCAGACAAGTCGGCTGCTCGATCATCGTCATTGTAATTGTTTGTTGTGTTGCCAGATTCATTGTGAATGTTGCCATTTCATAATTGTGTTGTTCTCTTCATGATTATCATTCTCATACCCATTTAATTCTTTCCATCACGCGTCATTTTTGTACGCATGACTATTAAACATATCATTTTTGTCATTGTTATTGTAGTCATTAAATTGCCAACAACATACCTTTCAAACTCACATATTTTATTTTGTGCGGGTTTATTATTTGACTTATGCGCAAAATTCCTGTGCAGTATACGCTTCCACACCAATTTAACTCGTATATACATCTGTCGACGGGGGGTTACCGGGTCATACCAGTTGTCCTAGTTTTTGGCTGCCAATAAAAAGATATAGAAACTGCTCAGACTATTAGATTACTTCCTTTGTTTTAGACTGTTTTCCATAAGATTTTAATAATTGACATTTTACTGATAATCAATTGTATTATCCAGTGTAGTATTTACACCAAAACTATGACTGCATCTGTTGTATTTATTTTGACATTATTTTTATAGTGATTCACAATGAAGTTTAAGGGTAAACAATTTTATATCTTGTGACTAATAAGCCTAGTAACTAGACATGTTTACAATAAACTATCCCTTGCGATTGTTCACTTTGAAAAAGTAAGTATTTAACACCAAATAATTTATTATTTTCTTTATTAATAATTTTTTAAAACTTGTGTTGTGTACATAAATACCGCAGTGATAGGTGCAGGATCACGCTTAATGAGTCCCTATTGGAGTAGGCGTTGATAGGGTTAGTGTGTTGATATTCCACTGTTGATCTTCATTAATATAAGGATAAAAGAGTTTGACATTTATGAGTTTAGTTTTTATACGCCTGACCAATTTTCATTTACTCTACTCAGTAAAGGATATAAACATTGATATACCGACACTGATTTATAGCAAAAATGAATTTTAAATAAATGATGAATGAAATATTTTTTAAAAATATAAATTTTTAAAATGCAATTGAATCGCTATCAATTCAATAAAAATATCAATTATTTGATCAATTTTTCATTTCATAGTAATAAAAATTATTGTTATATCAATGACTTGATTTATATTTTATAGAATTGAAATAAATAGAAAAAAAAAATAATAAATAACCACAATTTCATTATGAATGTATTTCATTTTTCAATGTTATCCATTAATCAAAATTACTTTTTAAAAGCTGCCGTGAAGCATTAACTAAGCCGAGCACTGAAGTGATATATTAATTCATAAATCCCTCATTCTTTATTCAGAAACATTTTTTCAATTTATGAAAACTGTAATAAAATACTTTTCATATCCTATTATTTCTGATGAGTTTAAGGATAAAATAAAATTTTAAAAATGAGAATAATATAACTTCACTTTGTATTTAATACATTTCATTTTTATTATTTTATGCTTTAGTTGGTAAACGTATTATAAAACAGTTTAATTAGAATTATTATAATAATAGAAGATAAACATGTTTATAAATTGAATTCTTGAATTGAAACGTGAATAAGTTTTTATAACAATTTCGGATTCTTGTATTATGGGTGCAAAATAGTGACGCATGCGTTTTATTATAGTACGAAATATTGACGTTTAGATACGTTGCTCTGTAGCTATTTGACGAATGTATTTGATCGATAGAAAAATTTTATATCTAATTCATACTTTATTTTAATTTTAAGCAGTTACATTTCACACTATATCGATCATTTATTCATCTTCACCGCGATAATAACGTCTATTATAGATTACAGATAATTGACAGAATTGATTTATGACATTACACTCTCGGTTTATTTTTATGAAAGCTTATCGATATTACATCAAATTCAGTCTACGCTTTCCATCATAATTGGATTATGGACTTTAGTCTTATATTTTTCTTCAGAAATGAAAATTAATCTGTCATGCAGTATAGGTGCATCAGCTTCTTCCTTGGTCATACTTACTGAATTCAGTAGAATGCCAAGTGTGGAGTTTAATCATCAGATCATCTCTCCAGATCATCATTTGCACTATTGGATCAGTATTGACCCTACTGAATGACAATTAAACAAAAATCTTGTATTTGAATATATATGTTTTTTACAACATAGTATGTATGAGAATAATTTTTCAAAACGGCATCTCGTGTCTAATTTCGGAAACAACAGTTTTAGATGAAAATAATTTATAAATCATAAAAGCATAAATTGCTTTTTTTATGAAACATCTTTATACGTTGTCTTGAATATTTTATAACATTTTTATGATAAGAAACCTAATTTACATCAATTTACTATCTAAAAGAGAATAAATTGTATCATTCTTATTACCTTTATTTCCTTTGTTATTATTTTTGTTTTTAAAAAATATTTACTATTTCATAACTTTAATTTATTCAGATTGCAGATTGAGTATCAGTAAAGTATAAAGTGTAGAAGGACGTAATACATTTAAAGGAAAGAAATGACGCGTACGTGACGACGACGTCAGAATGACATCATGAAGAGCTGTTTGGTGGTGCAGGGGATCATGTGGGTAATTTTGGTACTCGTGTCGGGCGGTAAGATATATGAATATGACATACATATAAATTTATATATGTTCATTTAGCTTCATTTTATATTCTTTCATCTAACAACAATCTTTTTATTTCCCTCATAAATGTTATAGGATGTACTGGAAATCCAGATGCAAAACGCCTCTACGATGATCTTCTGTCAAATTATAATAAATTAGTACGGCCAGTGGTTAATGTTACCGATGCACTCACTGTTAAAATTAAACTCAAATTATCGCAGCTTATTGATGTAGTTAGTATATTTTTTTTTTTTTTTATTAATATTTCATACATATTAAAAAAAGTACTTGCAGTACTTTTAGAGAATTATTTACTTTTTCTTCTTCTTTTTATAGAATTTGAAGAACCAAATAATGACGACAAATCTCTGGGTAGAGCAGGTGAGATAAGCTTCATCATTGCAACTGCACTTCAAAAAATCGATAAGATTATCGCCCATTCATGTTTTTTATTTTCCGTTACAGTCGTGGTATGATTATAAGCTGCAATGGGATCCTAAAGAGTATGGAGGAGTGGAAATGCTGCATGTACCATCTGATCACATATGGAGGCCTGATATAGTACTATATAACAAGTAGGTCAAAACTTTACTTCATAAAGAAGTTTATGATAATTTTTTTATATTTATTTTAATTTCATTTTCAGTGCTGATGGTAATTTCGAAGTCACTCTTGCTACAAAAGCGACTTTGAATTATACAGGTAGAGTGGATTGGAAGCCGCCTGCCATTTACAAGTCTTCCTGCGAAATTGATGTCGAATATTTTCCGTTTGATGAACAAACATGCGTTATGAAGTTTGGCTCATGGACTTACGATGGATTTCAGGTAAACACTAATTGCATTCTATCTTCATTTCATATAATAACATGTTTGGAAACATGTTATGCATTTGTATGAGTAAAACACCACGTGTAAGCACTTTGTAATGCTATTATACACGTTCAAATACATTCATCAGACATAAGAGTAATTATTCACAAGGGATCATATGTTAACATGTGTACCATTCTGTTCGATGATAACATATGAATGGATAAATCTCATAACAGTTGTTCTCTATTTTTTTCAGGTTGATTTGAGGCATATCGATGAAGTTCATGGAAATAATGTTGTGGATATTGGTGTTGATCTTTCAGAATTTTATACGTCGGTTGAATGGGACATTCTTGAAGTTCCTGCAGTCAGGTATTAAGTTCTATTTATTCATCCGTTTTTAAAATTAAAGTTCAAAGATGACATATCTTTTCAATTGAACTTAATTTCCAATAACCTTATGAAAGAAATTTTAATATGCGGGATGTTATTAAAAATAAATAAATGGCTTTTTTAAATAACTGATAATGAACTAAATTCTGACCTTTCAGAGTTTGATAGATTGAATTATCTTCAAATATCAAATGCTATTAAATTAACTTTGATGTTTATTATTTATAATCACAATATAAAAATATATACTCCACTTTTCAATCTTTTTTATGAAATCTTTTAGTCACTCCAATTTTATTATGTATTTTAAAATTAAAAAGAGACAAGATGTTCTATTACTTGAACAAAAAAAATTTATTTTAAGACTATCCAATAATAGATGTGACCTAATTATCAATTTTGCACTCATGTCAATAAAAAATAGATTTTGTGAAAAGTTTCTAACTTAGTTTATCTATGATGTTACTTCAATTAAGTTTTAAATTGTTTTCCTTAGTTTAACAAAAATATATAACTATAACAATTATATTTCAGAAATGAAAAATATTACACGTGTTGTGATGAGCCTTATCTTGATATCACCTTTAACATAACAATGAGACGAAAAACATTATTTTATACAGTAAATCTAATAATACCCTGTATGGGAATATCATTTTTAACAGTTTTGGTTTTCTACCTACCAAGTGATAGTGGAGAAAAGGTAAGAATTCATAAAAATATTCTTCAATCATGATAGTATGTGTGTTCATGACCTAAGTGTATTTTGTTTTCGTAAAAAACATTGTTGTATTTATTTTAGGTCAGTCTCTCAATCTCCATTCTTTTATCATTAACTGTGTTCTTCCTCCTGTTAGCTGAAATTATCCCACCAACGTCATTAGTGGTTCCCCTGTTGGGTAAATTTGTATTATTTACCATGATACTCGACACATTCAGGTAAAAATAAAAAGCACAAAAGTATGATTTTATTTTTTATGTACTTTCTATTTGTTCAATCTAAATATTATTATTGCTTATTATATAGTATATGTGTGACGGTCGTTGTCCTAAATGTCCATTTTCGATCCCCACAAACTCACATCATGGCACCTTGGGTCCGACGTGTTTTCATTCATGTTCTACCAAGACTGTTGGTAATGCGCAGGTAAAACAATTGAAAAAGTTTATTATTTTTTATAAAAAATTGATCAAAATAGAGGATGGAAAATAAATTAAACAATTGAACTAGGCCGCAGTATCAGATAGACAAACGTAGTTATGATCACAGTGGTTATCATACGGGTCATCATCAACGTATAATGGTAAGAACTTGTAATGGTCTAGAAGTTCGAGATCCTACGCTTTTCATGGACGATTCGTCTACTTCTGAACCACAATTGCCACCACCGCCGCATGTACTGTTGTTCCCAAGTGTTGTCAATTCACATAACTCACGGTATTTAACTACTATCATTTTCAATATATCAATAATTCTGATTTCAAAACGATATGAAAACTTTAGCATTCTAAAAGCTAATTGGATTACCAGATTCATGAAATTTTATGTCATTTTAGCGAGTTAGAACCAATTACTTTAGATAGTGGATGCCAAATTCATGGATCATCATCTGCTGTAGCTGCAGGTGCAACTGTAGTACCACAGTCTTCACCTCGACTTGCTGAAACGAATAATTTAGATGAGTTGTGTAAAACTCTTAATAATTGGCATCATTGTCCAGAACTTTACAAAGCTATTGAAGCTATTCGATATATTGCTGATCACACAAAACGAGATGAAGATGCAACTCGAGTAAGTGTCGTTTTATATCTAATATTGATAGATATACAGCATTGAAGTATTACTATATAAAGAAGAAAATAATATATCACTAGTATGTACATGTAGTCTCGTTGTTTGGAATTCATTCCACTAAGTAAATCTTATTTTAATTGATTACTTCCATACTTTAATACAATATTAAATTCATTTATTCACATAATATTTATTTTGTGTAATTAATTTTCAACCACTTAATTATGTTTACTTTAAAGACTTTTTTTCATCAGACTATTGATTGATTTAGGAAATTTTTTATGAATAAATGAACCAATTGATAAACAGATCAGATTAATGAAATAAAAATTTAATTTTGTTCCAATGAAAACATTATTATTTAGAAAAGTAAAAATAAGCTTTATTAAAGTCCTAATTTTTTACAGTAATAGTGAATAATAAAAAAATGGAATTTTTTTATAGGTAAAAGAAGATTGGAAGTACGTGGCGATGGTATTAGACAGATTGTTTTTGTGGATATTTACACTTGCTGTTGTTGTTGGGACCGCCGGTATAATTTTGCAAGCACCAACTTTGTACGATGATCGTATCCCTATTGACATTAGATTATCAGAAATAGCTTCAACCACTGCCAAACCGCACATCGTGGCAACTCTTTGAGTATGTATGTAATAGCATTTACGCCGTATGGTGCAATATACTTCGTTATACAAATAATACATCCATAAAACCCAATTCCATTCAAAAAGAAAAATAAAAAGACTGACAGCGATATGTCTTGTTAAGTCAGCAATATGTATGTGTATGTGCTTATTGATTAAGCGCAATAACATAAATGAGAAAAAAACTCAACTTGCCGAAGTTCATAATAATTTTCTTTAAAATTGAGTATTAATTTATATATAAATATTCAAGAGGAGTAAATATAAATTATAATAATAGTGCAAATAATAATGTATAAACAGTGTAAAATTTTTCAACGTCATGTTTTAAACTTGATTCATTCCTGATTATAATGTGAAAATTAATTGAATCTTTAGATAATTTAGCTAATAATGAACATAATGATAAATGATATTAATTATGAAATAAAATATATGAATAAATAAATAATGTGACTAGTGCGTGCATAAAATATGAAAATTATTGTAGTACATTAACAATTTTAGTAAGTATACAGGAGGGAAAATATCCACCTGTTGCAGACTCAGGAAGAGATTTTATTTGTTTTTTAAGTAACATGTACTACATCGATTTTATTGCATATATTATATAGGGGCCAGTTGGAAATAATGTAGAAATAAGGGATTTAAATGAATGAAGGTGCATAATGCGTCTGTCACACAATGAAATTCTAAATTTCTGTTTCTCATGCAAAGAAACAGAAAATGTTGGGTCGCATCTCATTATATAAACGGCCCACATATTGTTGCTCACCTTATATAAAGATAAAAAAAAATATATATATATATATGTAATTTAAAAAGTATTTGCATATTATATTAACTGTATGGCCATTCAATGATAATAATTTCTTTATAATATTTCATACGCGAGTATATGTTTGAGTGTGAAATATGTAGTAAATTCAAAAGAATGTATAAATTATTACATCAAGTATATTTCTTAAAAATGTGGCAAATACATGGAAACATAATTGTTATTAATATTATGTTTGTTAAATTTTATTAAGGATGTACTTGTGAACTTTGTATAGTTTATTTACCACACGACAAATGATAAAGGCATATTCAGCACATAAACTTTCATAAATAAAAAAAATAATTATTCGAAAGTTCAATGATGGCTCTAAAAAATGATAATTCAATTAATATCATATTATAAATCTCTCTAGTCACGATAATTTTAGATTATCTACAGGATATAAGAATATTGCAGAATTTATTTCCTGTAAAGCCATAGATTAATTTGATGGATCTCTTATTTATTATATTTTATTATATTTCATGAACATATTAAAATATGTTACATAAACTAAAAATAAAATGGAGGATGTTAAACCGATCCACAATATATATTTCACTTTTTGTATTTTCTAAAATAATAATTATATTAATTATTATAACGGAATTTCTTAGTTTTAAATAAATAATAATACCTTATGGAGATATTGTAATATTTATCTGTATATAACAAATAAGGAAATGATATAATTATTTAAAAATACTTTTAACACTAACAATACTTTTATTACACAACATATTATTTTAAATTGTCACTTAATCGATTAAAATACAGATACATTTTTTGTTTATTTAATTTAATTCGACCAATTTCCCGTAGATATAAAATTTTTTATTTTATGCAAAAACCTACAATGTTTTTTGAAATTTCATTTGCTAATTTTTTCTAATCCTTATTCTAAATAGATTTGGAGTAAACTCCAATAATTTACTCCAATATAAAAAATGGATAATATACCCGTAATATTGATGAATAATTGTAGATTATTGTATATAAAAGTAGATAAATTGAATCGGTTTACTTTTTTTTAATAAATAACTTTCCATTAAATTTACGATAGCAATGTGTTTACATTCAAAACAATGTCAGCTGACTAGGTATAGAATTTATTTTACTAGGGATATTTGATGGTTGAGCAGTAATTTTCTAACCTGGGGAATTTATAAGCTGCGCAATATCGAAAATTATCGAAACATAAAGCACCAGAGAAAAATCACTCAAAACGTTGCAGAGTGTTGAGTTGAACAAAAGGTATGTAAGTGTGAAATTACTACATAACAAATATTATACCAATTTTTGATATATTCTAGAAAAATTCTATGAATTTACTCTTCATTTCAGTTTCATTCTCCATTCAATTGAAAAACTATTCAATCAGCAAAATGCAGGGCCTGAGTTTCAGTAGTCTCAAAAAACACCCATCTGTAAGTACAAATAAGTACTGTGAATATTTATATAACTACTTAGTAAAGATTACTTTATTATTTATAAAATGCAAATAATAAAAAATTTATTGATATAACTTATATAATGAAATTTCTTTTTTTAATAGTTAATTCCAATCTATGTCTGTGTCTTTGCTGGATTAGTTGGATCTGTTGGTTATTTGGTACGTTTAGCTACCAAAAGTCCTGAAGTAACTTGGCTTCCAAAAAAAAATACAGAACCATGGGAAGCTTACAAAGAGCGCAACTACAAGGTAAGACAATGTTACTTTGTTAAAATGTATTGTTGTAAAGAAAAATAAATGAATTTCGTCAATTATTACACTATTGTATGGTTGATATTCTATTGTTGAAATGGTAACAATTAGACATAGCATCTTCTTTATCACAATTAACCTAACAATTTTTGTTTCAGCTTTACGCTACTCCTGAATATGAACAACAAATCAAATCATTCAAACCTCCCAGTTACTAATAAGTTATCATCGAGTTGATAAAGTTTAAATAAATAAGTATGAAGATATATCTAATGTAGTATCATTATTAAATAATAATTTGCATCATTCAGTCATCAATTGATAACTATGATGTATTAAAACCATATTCAGAGATTTTTTGTTAAAGAAAATGATATATCCTCAAAGAATGTTATGAGATTAAATCAATTTATTTGATAAAAACTTCAATATAATGTAATTCAGGTTTTTACATTTAGTCATTCTTGTATATATAAAGAAATAAAAATATTTCTAGTCATAAAAAATCGTTAAGATTTCAAGGAATATTTAGAAATTTCATTAGAATGTTAGCTAAAACACTTTTTTTATGAAAAAAAAATTAAATCAGACGAAAATTGAATATGCTGCTCTTCATTTAAGAGGTAATTTTTATTTCTTATTATTTTTATAAATACTTAGTACATAGTGTCAGATATTTATAATAATAGCAAAGAATTGTGCAAAGAATCGAAGTTGGCATCGATTTGATTGTTTATAAAAACTAGTAGAGAAATTTAGAGTTCCAACGTTTTTAATTTTTGGTTATTAAAACTACTATTGATTTATTTATATGCTGATACATTCTGTATTAGAATAGTGATAGCTTGAAAATTTTCTGGTGAATCGTCAAGACAAAATATTTTTTTCATCATTTAAATGTTAACAATACTTTGATCTTAGTCAAAACATCTGAAACAATAATTTAAATTGTGGCACAAATAATATCATGCCAGCGCCATCTTAATAATTTTGTCAGCGCTTCTTGTGACGATATTTGTAAACTCTGCATCAATCGTATACAACAATGGCGCCTAAACTCATGAGTCGTTTCACTGACATTGCTCGATTGTTATCTTTTTAATTAATTAATCATTTGCGATTTTTTTTATTACGTGACCTTTGAATCTCTCTCATGACACGATTATCGTGGAACTGAAAAGCTATTCTTAAATAACAAGTGCCTTTCCGTACTCGCTGATTCATTAGATTGAGTATGGATGATAGGTGAGTCTTAAAAAATTTTCATAATTAAATAAAAAATAAATAAGTTACACAGACTTTTTTATTAAATACTATTTGATAACCTAGAACAATAAATATGAAGCCAGACCGGCTGGAAAGAAAGATAGAAAATCCAAAAAAACATACAAAGAGGAGTAAAAAGGGCAGTGTGAAGGTCAATAAATGGTGTACTGAAGAACGAAATGAAATAAACAGTGAACCAGTACCAGAAATCGACTTTACTCCGGTATTTTGGCAGCAATCAGGAGCTTCACCTCACGTACAGCCTTTGAGAAATAGCCAAAGACTTTTTACAGCTATGTCTGACCCAAGTGTATGTGGATATTCAACAGTGCCTGTCGCTTACGCTATGGAACCTGTGTCAATGCCTCCAGTTTATCCTCTATATAGGCCAGTACCTCAACCAAACTATCGAGCCTTTAGAGGTAAAGTAAGGAGAAATATTCATAATCAAATGGGTTCTCGATTACATCAGAGCAATTTAATAAATGGATATTCAAGTCTCCAAGAAAATCGACCAAACTTTATGACGTCTCCTATATATCAAAATGGAGACTATACCTCATTGCCTCCTACTGCGAACAATCATACGACCAATGATACTGAAGAACTCAATTCAGAACATAGAAGATATTCAGATCCTGGTCTAGGACCTGCTGATTTGCCTCCTTACACCCACAGCGAAGATTCCGATAGTGGCGAAAGTGGAAGTTCCATTACCACTATTGGCAAAAATAATAAACTTGTATTATCTTTAGTAGAACAGGTAAATACTTTAATTATAATTCAAATTATTTTTGATTAACTGAAATTTAATTAAATATTTATTTCATTAAAATGTTTTTTTAGATGACAGCTCTTAGAGAAGTAAATAGTCAAATGTTTAAGCAGCTTCATGAAACAAAAATGTCTCTAGAAAGTGTTAAAGCTGAATTGGGTCGTATGAAACATCAAGTTTCTGTAGAATATCAACCAGGAATGTTATCAGGTATGAATAAACAATACTCGTTTATCATTTATCATATGATACAGTTATTATAATCAACATTATTCATTGGTAAATTTTATTGTAGATATGATCAGTGAAATAAGACAAGCAAATAAAATGTTGGAGGAATCTATAATTACTCGAATTAACACAGTAGTTGAAGAAAAAAATCAACAAAATTTATTGGAACTCAAAGAATTAAGGGTAAGTTTTATTCACATTTATTTCATTGTAATTTCAAATTATTTTTCATCACTTTTAACACAATTCTCGCGCTGTATTAACTAATTTAATTATCAACTGCATCCAAAAATTCCAGTCCTCACAATATATCTTTTACCTGATAAAAAAGAGCCGACAACTCTAAAGTAAATAGAAAATTTAGGACCGAGTGTAGTCTTATAGAAAATGTGGGAACGAAAAAAACAAAACGATCTCGAAAGACTTTGTTTAGTTTTTTTCTTTTACTCAATGTCGGATCCTCACATCATTGGTCCATTAAAAATTTAAAACTGCGTACAAGTTGAGTCGAGCTTTCGGGATATTCTACAACCACCCTTTTCAAGTACTTACAGCCATCAACGAATTGTTTGGACATTCGTATATGATGTTTGATCAGGACCGAGCCAGGTGATGTCGTTTCTTTTGCTCTAGGTTTAGCATTTTTTTGTCCTGATTTAACATGATTTAAATTTTGCTATTAAAATAATCATTAATTCATTAATCAAAATTACTGAATTAACGATATTTTAATAAGATTTTGATAAAATAATTAAATTTTATAAATAATATAATATTGAAAATCATATATTTTTTCTTATTTGCACTTGCACGCACAGACATCCTTACGTTTGCATAGAAATTAGTTAGCTCGTTGTAAAATCGTCGTGCGCTGCATTGCTGATGAATTTCACAAGAGAATCCCACCTTCAGAAATGAGTATCGTTCTTGCAAATACCGACTTCATATGAATACATGTACGTTAAAAGAAAAATATAGAAAAAGAAACTACTCGAGAGATTCCATATGTTATGGAGGCGTAAAATGTTCATGTACAAATGTGCAGCGATAATGAATTCACCGAGTTCTTAGATTCTCTTGAAACTTCCGAGGTCATGTGTTCTTAGTTCAGGTACACAATTTATTATTATAGTCGGTATTACATTGCCATTTAATTGCGACATCAGTAGATCTATCTAAATGCAATTAATTGGATAATTAATTATTGATTTTTTCATTACAAAATTTTATTCTCTATTTTTTGAATCTATTAATCACCTCGATGACTCATTCTCAATTAAAAGTGCTATTCGATAAAGTCTTTTTTTTTAATAATTTTATTTTTAATCCTAAAGTTGCAATATAAAAATTTAATGTACCTTATAATGTCCATCAAAAGTCAGCTGCAATTTATTTGAACTAAATGACGTGTATCACTAGCATTTGATGGATTAGGAAGCCGTGCATAAGTGATCTGATTGCGAGAATAGGGGCGTAGGTCAATCCTAGTGATAGAAAGACGTCAGTGGTTAGGAAAGTGATTATATTTCACTAGGGGTGACACATATATGTGTCTAGTATGTGGTGAGAAAGGGGGATCTTCGAAGTCATGAAAGATACGAGATAGAGAATAGAGTTGAGGCACTTAGCAGTCGTCAGGGCCTCTCCCTCGACCTCTTTCCTCTCTTTACTTGGTCTTCTCAGGTTTCAACCATCCATTAGCTTCATCAACCGCAGCAATGGCTGCTTATATATCCGCCATAGGCGCATACTACGTAATTTCCTAATTGAACCATTGGATATCTTACACTCATATTTTTTTTTGTTTTAATTTCTTCCTAGTTTGTTCAATGCAGGACTGGATTACCTCAGCTAAGGACAATATTATTATCGTTATGGCTATCAAAAGTCAAATTTTTTATAGGTTTTTTTTATTCAATAGGTTTTAATTAATTTGATGCATCAATATAATTACAAAAAACTTTGATGAGTAATTTAATCTTGAAATTTTTATCAAAAAGTAAATATAGCACATATTGAAAAAATGATTTCTATTCAATATGTTGATAAAAAACAATTAAATAATTTATTAAATTTTCTAAAAGATGATAATACTGTCTATTATTGCTTTAGACACTCTTTATATTATTTCGTTGCAGTCATTTCTCATCAAACATCTTAAAAATTATCGTAATAATTAATTAACAAGTTGTTCAATAAAAAATCACAGGATCGTTTAGCTCAAATAACTGAGGAAAAAGCAGTGGCAGACAAACGTATTGTTAAATTGGAAGAAGAAGTAGCTGCTCTTAAGATGACGAAGTAAGTACATTCTTAGGTGTAGATATATTTTGTATACAATCATATCTCTTCTGGCTGTAGCTTATCATTTTTGCAACTAAATCTTAAAGAAAATTGAATTTAATGGGATAAGAGGCTATAGGTAATGCTTTAATGGCTGATAATTTGACCATAACATGGCTTTCGTACTAGCAATGATGATCAGGAGATTGCTGCCCTTGAGGAGGAGACTTTAACTCTACGACGAGAGCTTCAGGAAGCACGAGCACCAAGGAATATCATTCCAAGTCATTCAGCAAAGTGCGTAGATGCTGCAGTAACAAGAACTATTATACCTGTAACTTTTGATACACTCATTAAAAGCAGCACCCCCGTGCGTACCAACATCCATGAGACCCGTCGCTTCAGTTCCATGGGTTCTGGCCCACCTTCATCATCATCCTCTTCATCAACTTCTTCGTCATCTTCTTCTTCTGTTTCGACCTCTTCTTCCTCATCACCTTTATCCCATTCCGACTCGTTGAGGAATTTAGAAAGCATCAATGGTTCAAAGGACATAAAGGAAAAAATGCCGGAAAAAATAAACAATAAAGATCAAGAGCGAAGAAAAGAATCAGTCCAATCATTGGAGCCTGATGAAAAAGAAGCTCTAGAGAAATTGATTCATTTCCATTTTAACAGAGAACAACGACTAGCTCAATCTCAGGATGCTTCTACCAAAAAGACAGAGACATGTCGTCAGAAGAGTGAAGGAGCAAATAATTTAAAGAAATTTTCTGACAATTATCATGTAAACAATGTATCCAGAAATTCAACGTCTTCGTCATCATCATCGGGATCTGATAGTGGTGCTGACGAACGATTCAATGGAAAAAATGGCAAATTAGACAAAAATCAAAGAAAAAATGGTGTAGTCGAGGTTCCAGATGTCGTCGTCGTCGCTGGAAAATCTATGGTACCTAAACATTTATGCTCGACGAGAATCCTACCTCCTAAAGTCCTCAATGCACCTCCACACACCACCTACACCACTGCCTATATTTAGGATACGTACGGGGCCACCACAAGTGTTGTGTGTCGTCACTTGCAGGGGCTTCATTTGGGTTTATTCTTGCCAATTCTTCTGTACAAATATCACGTAGGTCGATCATTGAATCATCAAGCATGTGTATATAATGCAATTGTCTTTTATAGCTGCCTATTTTATTATCTTTTAATCTTCTCTCTAATTTCTCATTTATAGAAAGTAATTTTCCTCTCACAAAACTTTTGCACACTCACTAAAATAACACTTTACTTCTGGTATTTGGATGTCATTTCAATTACTTTTTGTTTTATAATTAATCATTGTGTTGATTGTTTATTAAGTCAATATAATTGAATTTAAAATTGCAACATTTTTTGTTTGGTTTGTTTGCTAGCTTTTTCTATTTCACTTTTCTTTTCATTGGAACATCAACTTGCAGTTATAATTCTGCAAGCGAATGGACAATTCCACTTCTGTTTCTAGTTGGCAGCATGGCTTTGCTCTGAACTATCCGCTTTGCTTGCTTCTAAAGAAAATCTTACAAACATTTCTTTCGACCGATTAGACGAGAAAGGGAAGAAAGAGAGGAAAAGAACGTAACCGGAAACGTGATTTATCAGACTGGAGAAACTGGTGGCAATACTGCATAAAAAGATGAACGACATCAATCAAACCAAGACTGGCTCTACTTCTACTGTTGGGTACGCCAAGGGATCCATTCTGGATGATGTATTTCCAAGCATGACCAATAGTTCTAAGGCTGATAGTGACTATGAGGATGATAGTGATAGCAGCGAGTCTGAACGTTCCATTTTTAGCATTAATGAATCTGGTGTCAGTAGTATCAGTGTAGGTCCAGTGACAGATTTATAAGGATATCTACTTTTTAATATTTGATCAATTTAATAGAAGATAAAGTAAAAAATTTTGAATATCAAAATTATTTAGTATTATATTATCAATTTATTTAATGTTTTAAACATAAAGAATACTTTAATTCAAAGAATATAGTTATTTTAGATAAAAAAAAGTTTTTTCTTAGGTTTTACAAAATATTTTTACACATTTTAAATAAATCAGGCACTTTAATGACAAATTAATTTAGTAATTGCAGTATTTTTATGTACTTTTATGAGGTTTTACTTGACAATAGTTATCAATTATTCAAGTTTATCTTTCTGTAAAAAAAGACTATTAATTATTTATTACAAGTGTGTGAGTGTGTTGCACACTATAGAGCCAAAAAAATGTAAATAGTCAGATAATAGAAAAATAACTTGGTAAAGTTTAAATAGATTTAATCCAACAATTCACAATTATTTATTGATTTTATAATTGAAAAAAAAAAACTTATATTTGATAAAAAATAGTGTACTATTTTTTTTCTATTTGTATTGTTTTTAAAACAAAATGTAATTGTATGTCAATTTTAATTCAAAATGACTTTCTTAGTTAAAGAAAATGATTATATATTACTTAATTTAAATACTTTATATTTGCACTGGAAATTATATTTTATATTTATAGCAATTTTTTTAGTTTAGTTGAATGACAAAATATTTATTCAATAATATATAAAATTATTCGTACCGATAGTAATTAAATTAATTACGATGATTATTGAAAATTATTTTACAAATTAAGAAATTAAAATTAAATTTTATTATTTAATTGAATCTCAATTAGTTTTAGATACTTAAATATAAATAAATCACGAAGCTCAAATCACTTAATATTTAATAGAATGATGCAGATATGAGCTTATTTTTAGTAGAAAAACTATTTTTTCAATATCGAACATGACTTAATGGATTACATTATCTGCACAATTTATACAACAAATAAAAAATTTTCTGTTTAAAATAAAATAATTTGTTCTATCAATTAACATTTAGTCACGAACTTACTCATTTTTGTGTTTGATTAATACAATTAAAATTATTAATATTTTGTTTTATGCTTTACTAAGTGTAATTAACAGTATTATTGTTTAATAATGTATTAAATGTTATAAATTATTGTATTTCCTTGTGCAGTTAATGTAATTTATTTAATACGATTATGGGCAATAATAAGTGAGACTTTTTTTACTATCATGTGGCCTTTTTTCAAATGAATAAATTACAATAATTTATTTTATATTACAACATAGATATATTTATTCACGTACAATAAATTGATATTCACACGCTACATAAAACGAAAAATATCAAATTAAATACATGTCAATTTTTTCACTTGAAATTTTAAAAGTGCCATTACAGTAGACACAAACTTGACTCAAACAGCTATCAACTATTTTAAACATTAATTATTAATAATAAAAAAAAACCAAACCCTAATGAAAATTAGAAAATATCTTAGATATTTATAATAATTAGAATAAATAGTTTAGCAATAATTTTTGGGATATTGTTATTATATCAAAATATTTTAGTGTACGTACTTACGATGTAGACTTAGGTCTTTTTAATAAATTCTGACATTAATTATTAGTAAAAATTGATTACAATAAAATGGTCTAAATGTTAATATTTGTTGAGGTGTATATTTTTTTACGCATGCTTTATTAACGTCATAGCCTATTCATTTACGTCATATCGTACGTTTTCTTAGTACATTGCTCTTCTGAATAGTTGAAGTAATATTTTTTCAGACGCCGCTTTGTTTCATCGCAAGTGTCCTATCACTTACTCGTTTCAATTTGTACAGATAGAATATTGTTATTCTTAGCATATCGATCTTTGTTATTCCTTATCGTTTTCTCCCACTGAATTCTGAAACAATAAATAGAAAATTAGTTCTGACTTATACAATAATGTATCATATCATTGAAGTAGATTTTATTTTATAAAATATTTTAAATGATTAAATATATATATATATAGTTATAAATTGTAAAAAAATAGCTGCTACTTTTGGTATGAATTGTAAATAGAGTAAATGCTTTAATAAAAATAAATAGATTTTAAATAATAAAACAACTCTCTGAGATAAATAAATATTTATTTAGTTAGTTATTTGCTTTTAATGTTTAAATAACAGATAGTTTACTTTAAATATTGATTGTGTTATTAAATTGTTGGTAAGCTTTACAATGTCTTTGACGGTATTACTCGACTTATAAACATAATTAATATTTTTGTTGTATTAAATATGATTTGCGGTATAATTATTTGCAATTATAATTAAGTACATTAATTTTTTTTATAATTAATAAATTTTTTTTAATAATAATTGATTTATTGGGTAAATAGAAATGATATAAAACAGTGTGTATATTTTGAGAAAATTTAACAAGGAATATGAACTGGAATATCATTGTTCTATATTTAAAAGTAATAATCAAAATCAAGCAAATATGAAAGAAAATTTAGAAAATAAGTTATTAAATTATTTTAAAATACAAAAAATCAATTGAAATGTTTTTTATTGTTGTAAATTCTTTTCTTTTGTTGTATTATCTGATGAATCTCTTAATAGTTGTCGACTTTTTTTCCAACATTTTATATACTCATGGAGAACCACTGGGTTCCATGTTGACATAATCGACCCTATGTCGAGACTTGGTGGTATGTTGGAGTCCTCAGTTTTACTGTAGAGCGTCTGGTATCTTTGCGACATAATTTGCCAGTGTTCTACAATTTATATTTCAGTATGCTCGGATATGTAGAGAACGCCGGAAATTATTTAGATAAAATGCACCAAAAAAAAACTAGTAGATATTATAGTGGTATTTTATGATCTAAATAATCTAGAGTAAAAGGTCGTTCGTTATACCTGAAAGGTTGATAATGAGTAAAAAGCTAATGCCACTTGAAAAAGCTTGCCGACATCATAAATCGATTATGATTTTATTATAGTGTAATAGGTATTTCATTTTGCAGGTTGTAAAAGTTATTATAGTCAGGTCATTTGAAAGTATAAGTTGTATTGTAGTGTTTTTAACTTTTAAGTGTCGGGATGTTGAAGGAAATATTTCAACTTTGATTCATGAGATACAATACGTGCTTTTATCAAACAATGGAATGTTTAGAGTTTAAGCCATGGAACTAATTAAGAATGGCTGTTGAAATTTTTTATGTTCATCTTTTAAATCTTTGATGTTTTTAAAAATTGCTACAGAGTATTGAGTAAAAGCTAAATGCAATTCTTACTCCAACTTTGATGAACTGCAATAATATATCCAAACCTAGATCATTATACATTTCTGCGTATTCAAAATATATAAAATAAATTGATAATCTTAATTGTTTAAAAAATAATTTTACTCAAAAACAAGACTTTTATGAAAAAAAATTTCTAAAGATGGAAATAGTTTTCAATTCTATTGGAGATAGAGATATGTCATTGAATTGATAATGAACTAAAAGTTTATATCAAATTATTTTATGATATTGGAACAATTAAAAAATAATCAAGTTTAAATTTGTCGATAATATTCATCACTAGTTGATTGCTAGTTGAGTAATTACATATATTAAAAGTTATATATGTATACATAGTATCGATGAATAATTCAGCACTAATTTAACTCTTCCATGCATCACTGCCCTTACAGTCACATTTTCGACTCAATTATTATTTCACTTGTTTCCGGTTAAACTTTCATTATGTCGTCCAGGTTTCGGATACATGTAAGCGTATATATAGTTATACAAAGTTCGGTACGATCGATATAAATATGAAGAGTAGCAGAGTACAGTGAACCGTGGGAGTAAGCTTCGGGAATAATTGAAACGTGCCTCTGGGAATCTAGCTAGTCATTGCTACCAACGGGAGGTGAAAATTATTAAAATTGACTTTGGCCGAGTAGGGGATGTCCGTTCGAGAAAATCGCAGCTAATTTTGAAGCTGTTTAATCCGCGGACTCATCTACCACCTGCTTTGTACACCCTTTTCATTTTCTTTTTTATTATTTTTTTAATATCACTTAGACTCTGCATACTATTTCTACCCCTATTTCGCTTACTCTCATTTTTACGACTAATACTAGTAAAACAATTATCATAATTATTGTCCTTGTTATTGTTATTGAATTTTTGTTGTGGTGAGTCATTAATATGGTCATCTATGTAATCATCATAATGATCAGTAAAACGCGGGTGACTTTTAAATAACCTTTTATTATGGTAATATTTGGAAGATAATAAACCATGACCTAGCTGTCAATGTTTGCAAGTTGATTCCTGACTTGAGGTAAATACAAACAAAATAACGCACGCGTTAGAAAGTGTGAGTAATCATTTGGGATATTATCTGGATATTTTTGGTCCCATGAGGAAAGTTTCTCAATAGTTATAAATGTTGTTTGCTCAGACCAAGATTCCTCTTAATAATTGGTAGTTTCATGGTAATGGAAGAAATCATTTCTCTTTTGTTTTATTAAATATTTTCTGCATGAAACTACTGAATTTATTTTTCACAGGATTAAATATTTAATGACTAAATTAATATTTCTTTAATAAATAAATTTGTTTATAATTTCTTAAACAATTTCTTATTAAAAAATGGTGAAAAATCAAAATAAAAAAATGTTTATTTTAAATCTAACGTCGTTGCGTAATGTTTTTGAGGAAAAATGTTTTTCTTCCAGTGAATAGAGTTTAACAATTTATTTTTAAAAGAAATAAATAAATGGAGTTTTTCAATTAAAAAGTGAGACTCTGGACCCAGTTGTCATTAAAGAAGCATGAATAA